GCCATATGTTATGGAATATGTGGGTACTGAGCTGTGCGCTCTAGAAGAGGAAAATGAGACTGTCAGCTAACATTGAGCACTTGTATGTCAGGCGCATTGCTAAGTACTTTCCATGTACCAACCTGCCTGTGAAGTCATTTAATGGGTAAGGAAACTGGGAGGCTCAGAGAGCCGAGGCATCCTGTGAAGGTCACACAGCTGTTCGTAAAGCTGGGATCCAGACTCCAGAACGTGTGTTCTTATTACTGTTGACTCATCTAAGTTTTGTGCAAGTTTAGTGACAAGCTCAATATCGTATAGCAAACCGATGATTCTAACCCAAGTCCATCTAACATTCATTCAGCAATCATGGTCATGGTCTTCTAGCACAAGATTTCTTAACTTTGGCACATTTGGAGCCAAGTAATTCATTGTTGTGGGGCTGTCCTGTGCATCATTTGACGTCTAGCATCATCCATGGCCATTTAGCCACTAGATGCCGGTAACATCCTCCCCTTCCCAAGTAGTGACGACCAATTGCCAAACAGATGCAAATGTCTCCTGGCTGTAGGGCAAAAATCACTCCTAGCTGAGAACTACCAGTTTACCATAATCTGATGCCTGCCCTCTCAGCCTCTTCCCCTTCAGTAACTCAAGGTTGTCTCAGCAAGCCAGCAACAGAACCTGAGGCAGAGCCCAGGAATCTCAGGGCCAAAGAAAAATGGGACTGAGGTTGAACAGGCAGCTGAGGTATCTATCACAGAGGGAGCAGTGGATTAACTGTTAACACTCACGAAAAAATGGCATGCAGTAACCTCTGAGATGTCACACCGACATCTTTACCAGGTCACTACCCTCTGGCAGTAATCAAGGAGCAGCCCCCAGGGAAGGTTCTGTGTAACTCCAGGAACCTAGTTTTTACCAAGAGGCTAGTAAGAATTTCTCTTCAGGTGGGCTCCAGACAGCCTTGCAATTGCTTGGAAATCCAGATCAGCAAGGTTAGGGGTGTGGTTGGCAGCCCATGGAGCCCTACAGGGTCAGTGGAGAGGACACCTCTTCTGACTGGACAGGCCAGTCAGTCCATCGCCACTGAGGTGTTCATCTAGGGTCGATGGTCCATAGGTGGAGTCATTTTGCTTAGTGCAAATTATTTGTGAGAGGATCCAGATGTGCATTTTGGGGGCAGAAGACCCATCGTTTTCATTATATTCTCTGAGAGGTGATGACCAAAACAGACAGTAGTCATTGCCTTAGAGTTGGGCGTGGTAGCGAAGCCTGTGAACTTGGGAGTCCAAGGAGCATGCAGACCCCAGCCCTAACACTTCCTAACAAGAAGTCATCTCCCCTGAGGCTTGGTTTTCTTATCTCTAAAACAGAAGTGAGAACAATTTGTGGTGGCTGTGACGACAAATGAGATAATATAGGTACACTTATGCAAATGATACACGTAATGTATTCAAGTACTGTATTAATGAGATATATTTGAGATACGTAATGCGATAACAGTATTAGTAAACTTTTTAATATAGTTATTATTTATAATTTGAAGTCTCAAAACACCCCATCCAAGTGCTAATTTTTCCTTTTAGTCTAGAATTTATGGCCTAGATGGGAACTCTTCATTTATCCCTGGCATTGAGCCCAAGATAGGAGGCTGGATGCTCCCTGGAGGGGAAGACTGCTGCAGAGGGCAGTGGGACACAGGGTTTGGGGGAGAAGAGAAGAACGATCAGTCTCTTGTTTTAGGGAGGGTCGAAACATAGCTGTGATCAGGCCTCCGGAATACTCACTGGCCTCTGTCAGGGGAGGGCATTTGCCTAGCTGCTGTGAGCAAGGCACTACCAAACCTCATTGCATAAAGAGATAGCTCAATGCAGGGCGGTCTGGTGCTAGGGAGGTGAGAGGCTTGGGTCCAGATTCCTGTAAGGAAGACCTCAGTTATGTCATTCATCACCAGAGGGCATGAGATGGCTCCGGAAGGCACACTCTTGCCCTCTGGCCAAACTGCCGGTGAAAACCAGCCAGGTGTTTCCTTCAAAAAAGTCAGCAAGTGCTGGGTAAAGTAAGCAATGCCAATTTAAACGTTCTTTGAGCCTCTCCCTGGTCCTTCCTCTGTCCCCCAGCTTAGAGGCCTCCTGGAGTTCCCTTTAAGCAGCTGCCTTCTTCTGCAGGCCTTAAGGCCCAGATTCTTTATGCCAAGCTCAGCTCAGCCCTCTGGAAAGCAAATAGGCATACCTGAGGAGGACGAGGTAAAGTCTTGAAGATCCATAGCCAGGGGAAGGACAACTAGCTACCATGTCCTCATTTTTAGTCTGTTCACTGTTTCTGCAGTGCTCACCGAATGTCTGGTCCTAGAGATACCAGACCGGTGTGCCGAGAATTCTGCCCTAGAGGGTGTCCTTTGTAGTAGACAGATGAGTAACCAAACCACTAAAATAAAAAGCAGTATGTCCTAAATAAAAGCATGAATTACTCCAGAGTATGGGGTAATTAAAAATGACTAATAATATTAATAATATGCCTGGAGGTGTTAACCTTGGCCAAGAAGGTAATATTCCAGCCAGCCTTGAAGATGAGTAAAAATATTGAGTTAATTACTGAACATTTACTTTGGCCAAGTACTGTGCATGTTCATTATCATATTACCAAGTTTTTATAGTTGCTATTATTTTACTAATATTGCTGATGAAGAAAAGCGGCCTGGCAAGTTTAAATAACTAGGTTTTTCCCCTGGTAGAGGGAAAGAATATTCCAGGTGGAGAAAACAGGAGCAAAGGCCCGGGGGAAAGAAGGTACATGAACAAGTGAGGTACCAATCATTTGGACAGTACTTGCCACTTAGAGAACACTTCCAGAAATGTCACACTTAATCCTCAAAAATACCCTGAAAAGTAGAAAATATCACCATTCTACAGATGCAGAAATTAGCTAAAATTGGATATTTGCTGAATGATACAAATCAAAAGCTTGAACGTTTCTTCTGGGTATAAGGTAAGTGTTCTTTGTTCATTGCCCCACCACTAAGGACCTTGTACTTGAGAACAGTGGTCCAGTAGAAAGGAGGGGACAAACTAAGGAGTCCACTTACCCCGTGGGCCATCCTTGGGCCTCTGCAGTCTGTTGCCATTAAGGAATTTATGGACTAGTGGTTTTCTTTGTGTGTTATTACCCAGTGAGTTAACTTTTGACCATCTTACTAAATAAATACCTAAGCAAAATTCTGGATTCCTTTTTAAATGAATAAAATATATAGTTTGAATAGGCAATAGACATATAGTACAACATCTAAAAGGCACTGTGCACGCCCACACACACACACACACACACCTCTGGCCCACCTTGTCAGCAAGTAAATTATCCTGAGGCAGCCACTGTTAAATTTCTTGTGTACACTTTCAAAGATACTCTGGCCTCTTTTTATAGAATGGTAAAGCACTATATCAACAAAGCATATCTGTATTGATTGGTTTTGTTTCACGTTAGGTACTTAAGCTGTGCCCTTTGCTGGATTCACAAATACATGGTCTGGAGCACCAAGCGTGCTGTGTGGATGTGTTTAGGTGGACAGGGAGTGTGAGCAACAGTTACCAAAGGACATTTGGTGCAAGGTAACATGCAGTGAGTGTGGGAGAGTTCGTAGCTGTGAGGGCGTCACATAGTGGTTAGAACTTTTTGTCTGGAGTCACATTTGGCATGTGGCCCTAATTCTGCAGCTTGTTCTCAGTGTGACAGCGTAAGTGGCTGAACCTCTGTAAGACTGTTTTCCATCTGTCAGAACAGACTAAAAATAGTACTTACTTCATAGGGTCCTTGAAAGGAATAAATAAGACAAAGTATACAAGGAGCTTGGAGCATATTAAGCGCCCGATAAATGTTCGCTAAAAAACCAAATTTTTAGCTATCAGTAAATGTTGGCCGTTTTCATTCAAGTGTACAATTTTCCTTACCGGAAAATTCACAAAAGCTGTGAAAACGGGACTTAAAAAAATGGCGGCAAAATATAATTCAAAGGGAGGCTATTCGGGCGGACTTTGTATGAATATTCATAAGGTATCCAAATTATGAATATTCATGTCCTTTGGGATGGAAGTAGTATCAACGTTTAGTTACTTGATACTGCCCCAGGTCACTCTAAATTCTGAAACACATCTGGCCCCAAGTCTTTCTGGTTAAGAATATGAGCTTGTATTCTTACTAGGGAGAAAAGGTAAAGCTTTCTTTTTTTAGAAGGCTATTGTTTTTCTTAGTCCGTAATATTATTTTTCACCTTTCTTATCAAGGAAGTCCTGGGGAAGCCTTCCAGGATTTAAACTCACAGCCCCTTTGCTCGATTCCTGTGTATTCAAGGACTGGTGGGAAGTAAAAATATTGAGTTTGGAGTCGAGGCCTGATTTTTTTTTCCCCTTCACCACGCTCTCTAGGTCTGTTTCATTATCCGTATGGCAACGCCTAGAATTTAGTAGGCTCTTCCTAAATATATATTGAATAAACACTGAAATAAGGTAGTTTTTTCATTCGCAGGTCTTGACTCCTTCTTTCCTTTTTCTTGGTGCTGTAGTGGGTTGGGCAATGGCAGGCAGCCTAGGGAATAAGGATAAATCACAGAGCCTTTCGAGCAGCAAGGGACTTAAGCGAGTTACCCGTTTACTCAGCACCTCCCTACAAGGAGACTGGATCCCCAATCCTACCCCACGGGCACATCTGAGGGTCGCTCTCTTTAAGAGGGAATACCGCCCTCCAGTTCTTCCCTTTCAACATTTGAAAACAAAATATTCATTGGAATTGGGCTGTCAACTGCACCGAGGCGCCCCGGGACATGCCCAAAATCCTTGTCCCGAAAACCGCGGTGCCAACCATCGCAAGAGCCTGAACCCGCGATCCTCCGGCTAGTTCTTCACCCGCCAGCCCTGGAGGACCGTGGGTGGACACTCTTGCAGAACGCCTCTCGCTGGTTGGGGCGCGGGTGGGCGGAGCCGGCGCAGCCAGGCTGTGGCCTCGGAGGGTGTGGACACTCTGGCCCCGCTCTCGGTGGTGAGGAAGGCAGTGCGAGCAGCGGCCGCTCTGGTCGGCGGACGCGCTGCCTGGCAGTCCCGGAAGCGAAGCAGTGATGGCGGAGAGTCCGACTGAAGAGGCGGCGACGGCGGGCGCCGGGGCGGCAGGCCCGGGAGCGAGCGGAGTCGCCGGTGTTGTTGGCGTTAGCGGCAGCGGTGGAGGGTTTGGGCCTCCTTTCCTGCCGGATGTGTGGGCGGCAGCGGCGGCAGCGGGTGGGGCTGGGGGACCAGGGAGCGGCCTGGCTCCGCTGCCCGGGCTCCCGCCCTCGGCCGCTGCCCACGGGGCCGCGCTGCTTAGCCACTGGGACCCCACACTCAGCTCCGACTGGGACGGCGAGCGAACCGCGCCTCAGTGTCTACTCCGGATCAAGCGGTGAGCCGGGATTTTTCCTTCCCCAGCCCCAAGCTCTGGGGCTCGACCTTCCGTGCCCCCCCCCAACCCTTACCACTACAGCCCTCACTCTCCCTTGCCGCCTCGCGCTTCCCTCACAGCCGCCCAGCTGCAAGGCCCACTTCTAGTCAGCTGGGGGAGTCGGGACCGGATCCCCCACATCCCCTGCCCCTAGCTCCACACGCACCAAACCCCTACTCTAGTGGCCCAGGTCCGACCCCGCCCCTCGGCAGCCTCCCTGGGGCCCTCAGTCTCCACTCAGGACACCCTCCCCCCCATACCTCCCTCCTGAAACCCGACCCTTTCCCCGCTTCAGTAACACCCCCTCCCGCCCACCGTTCCACCCCTGTACCCCCTTCCCACCCTAGCCTTTCTAGGTGCTGCGTGGAGTCCCAATCCATCGGGGTCCCTCTCTTCCCGGCCTTCGTTTGTAATGCAGACCCAGCTTGCTTTCCCGGCCTTAGACTCGAAACCAGCCTTTCTTTTTAGTCCCCTTTTCCTCAAATCCCTTCCTTATAGTCCCTTCCCAAGTCTAGTCCACTTCTCTCATACCCACAATCTTTCCTTGAACCACTTTTCCATACCCCCAGTTTCGGGACACTGTCCACTCTCTCACACCTGTTCCTGGAACTCAGGCTTCCTCCCCCCAGTCTTACTCTGGCTTGTAATATTCCACTCAAGATATTTCTTTCCTATATTTTTTTGCTCTGGACCATCAGGTTTACTTTCCTAGAGTAAATAATACCCAATTCAAGCATAGGAACAAGGTCCTAAGTCGTTTTTGTTCTTGCTTCTTGGGCAACTGATCTTAGATCATATCATTTAACAGACAACCTTTTAAAAAAATTCTTAGCATAGTACCTGTCACGTAGGACCTGTTTCCTACTGACCATGCTCCCTTCACAGCCCTCATCTGAATGTTCCCATCCCCCACTTTTCAAGTCCCTTTAGATGTATCTCTACCTATGCTTCAGGGTTTCTGTGAAAATTAAAGAGCACGTTGTGTGTAAAGTATACCTGGCCCAGTGCATGACACAGGGCAGTTTTACATTCCTTACATACCTTTGAGTTCTGCCTATACTTATTTCTTCTGCTCCAGCTGTTTGCACTTTTCCATGTCCCCGTGAAAGTCCCTAGCCTTTTCCCATCTAGAATGCCCTCCTTTAGACCCTCACTCACAGCTGATAACATTCTAGCTTGTGAGATAGAACCTAGAAATCTTCTCACTTCTATAGCAGCCGCCGCCTGTCATCTTCCAGCTGTGAGATTCCTGCCCTATTAGTCTCTTGGGCAAGAAGATCATTGTTCTTCCTTGTCAGCTCACTTGCTTCATATAATCCCCTTGCTAACAAAGGTCCACAGTGGTTTATGGAATTAGTTTTTTAGTGGGGTTGATGGTGCCTTCCCAGTTACTAAAAAATCTTCCTTTAGCATTTAGCTGTAGTACCTGGGAGTCTCGGGGGTGGGGAGTGAATGAATTGCCATGTGGGAGGAAGTGAGAGTAAATGGGATGTGGCTTTTCCGGGGTGTCATCTGATGCCTTTGGGATCTCTGGGTTTTTTGCCCTCTCCTTACCCTCCCCCTGAGGAAACAATGCCCCTTTGATAATAATTTGCTCTCTGCCTGCCCGACTAGTACTCAGCTGGTGCAGCAAGACAGTGCAAACATCTGCGGTACCAGGCACCACTTTCCTGAACCCTGGCCTCACTGAGGTGGTAACAACTGTCCTGTTCAAGGGATTCCCTTTTTTTCTCCTCTCCCTCACCCCTCCCCCACTTCCTCTTGGTGTTATACAGGGATATCATGTCCATTTATAAGGAGCCTCCACCGGGAATGTTCGTTGTACCTGATACTGTTGACATGACTAAGGTACGTGACTTGCTGGGGGTTGGGGTTTATTGGGAAATTGGGCCCATAAAGTTGGAAGAGCCTGTAGAGATTATCCAGCTCACATCTCTGATTACGTAGGGAAGGAATCAAGCCCCCAAGAGGGTAAGGGTCTTGCCCAAGGTCACACAGTGAGGTGGAACAAGCTTTGAACAGGTGTTTTACTAGGGTGCCAGCAGGTTCTGGTTGCCTTGGAACATCCCAGTTTACATCTATTATTCCAGCTTAACTGTTAGTAAGGTGCTCTTCCCCTTTCACAAGGTTTGGATGATAAGTTATGTGGTCACCCTGTCTGTTGTACCACCCAGCTCTTCCGCCCATCCTGCCACTCTTGACCTGTACGTGTGCAGCAGCTGTAAATCAGGGTAGCGGAGGCTGGGAATAGGGCAGGCGTGAGTGAGCAGTGTTGGTAGTGAAAGGGCGTCATTTAGGCTCCTAACCTGATGTTGGGACAAAATCAGATTGCCTAAATCTAGTGTTTAAATGGAAACTTACAGTTTCCATTTTCTTAACAGTAGAAATTCAGATTTTGTATTGTTGATATCTGTTTTATTATGAATAGGCTTCTCTTTCAACTAATTTTTTCTTTTTATGGGGTTGGAAATGTTTCCTCAGACATCTTGTCCGCCGTCAGGTATCAGTGTTAAAATGCTAGTCCCTGGGTCCCCAGAATCGACGCCATGTCGATGCCAGTTGAGCTTGCTCTTCCAGTGACTGAGCTAAAAGAAAATGTAGGGTGTCGCCAGGGCAAGATAGGGACCGTCCGCTGAGGCACTGGATCGCAGGTCCTTTTTCCTCTTGCTGTTCCAATTCTGAGCAGACTTCATATGCCTGTGAGCCTTTGTAGAAGTATAGCTGAGTTTAGGTTGGGGAAATCTTGTTCAATAATTATGGCTGGAGGAAGAGAATTTAATGTTCTGTTTTAACTGCTGCTGCATTTTTCTTTATTTTTATTTTTTAATTAACCTACAGTGTTGGGGCAAGTTCTGGGGATGGTGTAATGGCTTTTGAGTGGACCATGAGTTTTCCCCATTTTTCTTTGTACTTTTGACACAGCCGGATGGGTGATGTAGGTTTGGTCCCCTGCAGAGGAAGGAGACACCCTAGGCCTCCATCACACCCCTCTGCTCTGCACTGTCACTGGCGCCGGTGCTGCAGCTTCCAGTCCCTTCCTACTTTTCCATCCATCTCGCCTCCCCTTTTTTGCCACATAAATGGAGGGTGGAGTTGCATCATACGCACGTTAAATCTAGGCAAATCCAAAAGTATATCCTCAGGAAAAAAATACCTATTAAAATTAAAAATGCCAGGGTAGTACTTTACAGGTGCATATTTTGCACATTGGTGTTGTATCCATTTGTTATGCATAACACTGACCAGAGAGTCTGAGTAAAAGCCATGCTTGAAAGGAGTCTTAAGGATACTCAAGGGCGATTTTGACTAGAGGGAGTTTTCACCTTGGGCTCTTACTTTAGAATGGAACCCCAGAGTAAGATGCCGCTCGGCTATAGTGGGATTTAAAATACTAAAAGTATTCATGTGAGTGAGGACAGCCTGTTCATTCTGCATGGAGAGGGTATGGAATGTGGATACCAGAGGAAGGTCCTGCTTCTGACGTGGGTAGCAAGTGGAAGCCAGGAGGGGTCGGGATGGGACATCACGTCACAATTTTGAGATGGGGTTTTATTTTGCAGATTCATGCATTGATCACAGGCCCATTTGACACTCCTTATGAAGGGGGTTTCTTCCTGTTCGTGTTTCGGTGTCCGCCCGACTATCCCATCCACCCACCTCGGGTCAAACTGATGACAACGGGCAATAACACAGTGAGGTTTAACCCCAACTTCTACCGCAATGGGAAGGTCTGCTTGAGTATCCTAGGGTAAGAGGAGATTTCTAAGTGGCCAAGTTGGTTGCTAGCAAATAATTACTCTAGGCCTTTATCAACCAGGGTTTCTCATCTGAACTACAGAACACAGAAAATAATTGGAGCGACTATTTCCTCCATTCTCCCCAGGGTGGTACATGACTAGTATGATTCCAGGTGCAAAAGAGAGAAGTTAATTCACTCGTTACAGTGGCTGCCTTGGTGAAGTGGTTCTGGAGCAGTAGCAGCACCTGGAAACTTGGAGGCATGCAGATGCTGGGGCCCCACCTTAGACTTACTCTATGAAAAACTGGGGGACCGGGTCCCAACAGTCTGTTATGTAAGCCCTCCAGGTGACTCGTGCACACTGCAGGTTGAGAACCATTCCATTAGGGCATCAGGGCTTAATTTCCCTTCCAAACAGGTTGAGAAAGGCTGCAGATCTGTGCCATTCAGGATTGTGGGTTTCTTATTTATGAGTCTCTCAATTAGTGGCTTTGGAGGCGGTGGTGGTGGTGATGGTTATGATATTTTAACAACTGAATGAAAAATGTCTAAGGCCGGAAATCACATCGTACACAAAACACAAGTTTTAAGTGCATTTTGTGTCTGGGTGCTATCGAGATTTTGCGTCATATAGTTTCTCATCTGTTCCTTTTCATTGCCTGAGAGGGTTAAACATTCAGAATGGAAATGTCTTCTAGTATATTCAGGATTGGTCTTTTTCCATGTGGTCTGCATTGCCCTGGGGCAGAGAGCAAGTGCAGGCTGCAGCTGAGAAAGTTGCCCAAACTGGCGATACTGTTTTCTTCCTTCTTGTCCATCAGTTTCTGGGTCTGTGTGAAGACGAGGCAGCTGACACAGCTGGAGATGTGGGGTTTTTTTTTCAATTTCAGATCTAGGAATGTGTCCCGTGATTGTGGGTGGCAGTGAGGAAGTCCTGTAAAGCAGGTTGCCCTTAAAGACGTCCTTCACCTTGGTAGGGCATATAATTATCTGTGCCAGTAGGGCAGTGGTCTGCGCAGCCCACAGTGGTAAGGAAATGTAGTTGTCACTTCTGTATGAAGTTTATTCGTGAAGGTGTATGGGTTTTTTTTAAAGATTTTTCTTATTTACTTTTTAGAGAGGGGAAGGGAGACAAAAAGAGGAGAAACATCAATGTGTGGTTGCCTCTCCTGCACCCCCTGCCAGGGACCTGGCGCACAAACCAGGCCTGTGCCCTAGACCAGGAATCAAACCAGTGACCCTTGGATTCACAGGTCGACACTCAGCCACTGAGGTTCTCCTTTATTAGGCTAACATAAAATTATGTTGAGTAAACACTAGCTAACAATAGAAATAGGGGAAGTAAAAGGGTAGGATAAAAGTGGCAGAAGTATGTTGGGTGGAAAAGGGGGAGCTACCCCAAAATTGAAAATTTGCCATGAAGAGTCAGAGCAGAAAATTCCCATGTGTTCTTAGGTTACTATATTCACTTTATCAGCCTCATTTTATTTCCTTCCAACCTAGAAAAAAACACTGGCTGACTTACTGACAAAAGAAGTTTCATGAAAGTTTACCATGTTCACTCGAATTCTTGGGTATATGAAGCCTTAGCAAAAGTTTACAGTTTTGTGGGTAGCAAAGCTGAGGACAGAGCAGGTTGAAAGGCACCGAGGAGCAAGCTCTGATGACATCATTGTCGCACATCATGTCCCTGGGCTTTCCTCAGTTCCAGGGGAGAAAGGGGCATTGGCCGGTTAACTGGAAGAAGCAGTCCTGTCTCGGGTTGTGTTCAGCTTCCAGCTCATCAGTTACTAAAACACAAAAGCAAATGTCGTTAACATCTAGCCTGCCTTCTTCCTCTGAATGCTCCATCAGATTTATGAGAGAGAGGAGTGGTTTTGGTGTTTCTCTCTTATTCAAGTTATTTTTCATGTATTTTCAGACCCTCCACAATCTAGAAGTCCTCCTTAATCCCTTCCTGTTCTTGGGCTGGGTTCTGTAGTCCTCAGGGAATTTGACACTCCTTGGGGGCTTGATAGAGTAGTGGGTCCCCTGATGGACCCCACCACATAGCCTCTAACCAGATGGCTTCGCTCCCCTCTGTGCCTCTGTGCTCAGCATCTCTCCCCTCTCTAACTCTGTCACACCCACAAATAAGTTAGTAAGCTCTTTGAGATCTGCAGAGGTTAACATTTTGACTCCCTTTGGAGCTGTTTCCTTACCTTATTTCTTTCATTCTGATGAACAGAACCTTCTCTGGCTACTATTTCTTTCCTAGCCTGAAGAAAATCCCTTCAAAGTTATCTTGCTTGCCTTATCCCCTTTTCTTTTGTCTCACTTGATAAGAGGATTAAGCACTTGACTGATTTCTGGTGAATGAGGGTGAGACAGAGGCTGGGAAATTTGAGTGTTAATAATGAAAGAGAAACCTTGAGTAGTTTAAGGTTGTGCTGCTAGGCCCCCGGTACTTGTGCCTTGGGCTTTCTGTGACAGCCTTTTCCCAAGTCTCCGCCTCATCCCTCTCCATCCCCTCTGATGTGTTTTGCAGTACGTGGACTGGCCCTGCCTGGAGCCCAGCCCAGAGCATCTCTTCCGTGCTTATCTCCATCCAGTCCCTGATGACAGAGAACCCCTATCACAACGAGCCTGGCTTCGAGCAGGTAAGTCCGGGGTGGCCCAGCCCTGGGGCCTGGGATACTAAGTTTTAAGACATGAGAGGCCTGTCTGCTTAAGGGTTTCTGGGTTGTTTTTTTAACCTGACTTAGCCCCACGTATTAATAAGCTTGTCAGTATATAGGAGAAAAAAGAAGCCGGCATGCACGCTCCTCATTAATGAATTTTTTTCCCTGGTAAGTTACAATAACACTGTGAAGTTATTTCCATTTGACTTGGATTTATCTACCACGTGGAAGTCAGTGGAGTCATTTGGAAGTTAGTTCTGAGCCTGCGTTGGGGGGGCTGTTATATTTGTATCCAGTAGGTTCTTCTGTATGCCTCCATTCTCAGTGTCGCCTGAGGTGATGTCGGTGACCACTGGTGAGCCAGACATTCTTTTGGAGTTATAAAGTAACAATTGACCCTTAAACAACACACAGCCAAAACTTCACATATAGCTTTGGACTTTGTAGTGGGCCCTTTGCATCCACCAGTCCAGCCAACTGTGGATGAAAACAGTACTTTGGATCTGTGGTGGGGAGTGTGGAGATAACATTTTCAGTCTGCTGTTGGTTGAATCTGCGAATATGAAACCTCCATATGAGAAAGGCCAACTGTATTTCCTGGAGGGGAGAAAAAAAACACATGTAAGTGGACCCATACAATTCAACCCTGTTTTGTTCAAAGTCAACTGTACCATTACCTGCAGAGTCAGAGAAGCTAGTCATTAGCTAGGGCAAGAATGGAGGTTGGCACTGCCGAACAGAAGGTAGAGGAAACTCACATTTTCCAAGGGTATGTTATGTGCCAGACACTGCCAAGTTTTTATATATAATTCTTAGTTAATTTCCATAATAGCTCTGTGAGGTGAATATTACTATCCTTGTTTTCAAGGTGTAATGGTGGCTTAGAGAGGTTAATGAACTCTCACGTGGACACACCAGATCAGGGTCGGACCCAGGGTTTGCCCTGGAGTCCAGAGTTCTTCCATTTTGCCAAAGTGCCTTTCAGGGTTAATTATGAGCACAGGAGAAGAGTCCCGGTGATACTCCCAAAGATAAATCAGTCAGGGTGGTTAAAACAGCTGAATTCATTTTGAAACTGTTTGAGATATCACTAAGGTTGATGAGTCTTCTATAAATCCGAACAAAGGGAAATACCCTTTAATAACAAAAATTACCCCCTAAACCATTCTTTCCAAACAAGTGGTGTATTTCAGGAGTAAGTAGAAGTGAAAGTGGACCTCATTGGCTAATAACCAGGATGCTGACTTTTAGACTTTCCTTGTCTTTAAATTCAGCAGATACTACTTATTTGTAATACTTTCAGATGTTCTTGGTTCACAGCACTCTCTTGTCTTGGTAGTTGTTTTTTTCTTTTTTTCCAGTTCTCCAGGCAGAAAGAATTGCCAGACTGTTCCATTTGTTAAGCAGTTAGTTTCAAATAACTTTTTAAAAAAATAACTATAATGGCATAACAATACGACGTGCAACTGTTAGGCATCACGTGACTTTCAAAGTCTTGGACCAGACTGAACCTACCACCCGCAGTTTTGTTCCTACTGTTTTCACATGCTACCTGCTGTTTATCCCCATAGTGACCGAAAACCCATCCTCACAAAGGTAACCTGTCATCAGGACTATACTACGGTTAGAACTGAATCACCTGCCTTAAGCCAGTAGTTCACATTGTATTTGATAGGTGTCGAATACTGTGGTTTTCTCCAAATATTTAAAATATTCATGGCCTGGCTTGTGTAGCTCAGTGGATTAAGTGCAGGCCTGTGAACCAAAGGGCACGTGCCTTTGGTTCGATTCCCAGTCAGGGCCCATGCCTGGGTTGTGGGCCAGTTCCCAGCAGGGGATGCACGAGAGGCAACCATACGTTAATATTTCTCTCTCCCTCTCTCCTTCCCTTCCCCTCTAAAGATAAAGAAATAAAACTTTTTAAAAAAAGGTTTAAAAACTATTTAAAATATCCCAAAGCACCCGGGTGATTTTGTTGTGGTGCATTTTGGGAACCATAGTGAAGAGGCCGAAGGTGTGTGTATCTTTCCTGTTCATGGTTTTATCAAAGGCTTCGTCGGAGGCCAAGGCTCTGATTCACCAGGGTTGGTAGAAAAGCGAACATTGAAGAGCAAAGGAAGAGGTTAAAGGAGAGTTACTTCTGTCTGTTCATACCCACACATTCAGATCAGCTTTAGAGACCAAAAGTTGGGGTTTTTCTTTTGAAAATTTCAAGCCTACTTCTGATAGCTTCACTGTAGTTGAGTTCATGACAGTAGAACCCTACAGACGTGTGAAGGAGTTAACCAGGAAGCACCCGTCAGAGACTGCAGACTGAGTCCTACCGTTATCTGTGTGCATAATTGGTTATTTCCCATTTAATCCTTACCTGAGAGGCCCTTCATTTCAGACTTTGGAAAATCTGATGGATCTAGTTCGTTGCTTATATGGGTCAAATGACCCAGCGGAGGATGGGTATTGGTGTGCTCCGGGGGAGGTGACGGTCTTGACAGAAGGCCTCATTGCCCTTTAGTGGGTTTCCCACGCCATGGGGAAGACTTCCTCCCAGTTCATTTGCTTAGGTCACATGCCCCATACCAACCCTGAAGTCTTCCCATTGGCTTTTCTCTTTGCCTGAATTTTGTACCTGGATACTATGGTGTCTGTCACATTACAGGAGAGACATCCAGGAGACAGCAAAAATTATAATGAATGTATTCGGCATGAGACCATCAGGGTGGCGGTCTGTGACATGATGGAAGGAAAGTGTCCCTGTCCTGAACCCTTACGGTATGTGTCTGGAGAGCCCCATTGGGACTTGCATTCCTTTTGAAGATTTAGCTTGTTCAGACCTTTGAGAACTTTGGGGACACCAGAGGGAAACAAAACAGAAGAAGCAGTAGTTTAAACGCATGTGGTTTATACTTTAATGTGGCTGAAGGTTCCCAGGAGGAAGTTCCAAGAGAGCTGCTCTGTTCTTGGAGTGTCGGGCCTCCGGTCCGTGCCCTCAGGGAGCCCCCAGTTTCCAAGGACCTGGACACATTAAAGACACAGCTCGCTGTTCTACGGCCAGATGAGTTGTAGAGCACTTCACAGTAAACCCATTTCTTACCGTTTGAGTTTATTTCTTGAGTGTTAAAACCGGAAGAACAAAGTCAGGAGTTAATGGAAAAAAATTCCTTGGGACAGTTTTGAATAAGGACTAAAATTAGGGAAGGCCTATGGAAAACCAACAAGAATGAGCGAGACTTGGGTTGAAGGTGAGATTAGAATGATTGGTATTAACAGTCCCTCGAATTTTGTAATCCCTAGGGTATAAGGGAAACCAACCATGGGCTTGGAAACACTAGCTGTTTCATTTGGCGTTAAGCCTAGATGCTGCAGGGGCGACCCCTTCCCTCCTGGGTCCCAACATAAGTGTCTCTGCTTGTTTTCCAGAGGGGTGATGGAGAAGTCCTTCCTGGAGTATTACGAATTCTATGAGGTGGCCTGCAAAGATCGCCTGCATCTTCAAGGTCAGACTATGCAGGTAATGCAGCCCCTGCTGTTGACTCCAGGGGCCTTCCAGCAAGACCGTGTAAAATCCCCCTACAGGGGTGACATCCACATCTCTCCTAGAACCGAGAGCCGAAAGGAAGCTGGTTCAGTTGAGTAGCTGAGGCCCAGAGAGGAGACTGACTTGCCTAAAGCCATATGGAGTTGGTTCTAAGGTCCTGGCATAAAGTAGGTACTCATGAGTAGAATGTGAATCATCTTTTCTAGCCTGGAACTCCTTCTCTTCTTGGTCAGTAGTCTTTTCAAACCAAGAACATTCAGCTCTCTAAGAATCTTAAAGAATTGTAAGAGTCACCTATTGGAATCCCATCCCTAGCTCAGAGGGGCACTAAGAGAAAGAAGGCTTAGACAAGCATTGCGTGTGTCGTGTTAGGAGTTAAAAAATTCCTATTACAAGCTGGTAACCAATGGCTCATTCTCTGCCTCTACTGGGGGAACATGCTTGTGTTTCCAGTAAAAATGCAGAAGTTACGGCTTGTTTTAAATATTTTATTTATTTATTTTTCTAGAGAGGAGAAGGGAAGGAGAAAGAGTGGGAGAGAAATATCAGTGTATGGTTGCCTCTCATGCGTCCCCTGCTGGGAACTGGCCTGCAACCCAGGCATGTGCCCTGACTGGGAATCAAATCGCGATACTCTGGTTCGCAGGCCCACACTCAATCCACTGAGCTACGCCAGCCAGGGCTGTTTTAAAGAAGAGGTTCTTATCACACCAAATTGCAGATAGGCTCCAATATAAACAGCCTGGTTGGTAAGTGAGTGAGAACCTTAGTCTTGAAGGGCTGGTTCTCATGTCTTTTGGATCATTTACTGGTCTTGCTTAGAAATACAGTGAGTTGGGTAAGTGACTAGGACCTTTTAGGGTTCTCACTATTTCTTCTGAGGCTGTTCCCCCCAGCCCTCTTGCCACCCAGCACCTCCTGCAGTAGGAGTAAATGTCTTACTTCCTCAGGTGCTGCTTGGAAATGTTAGTTTCCCTCTCCGTCCTTCAAGGACTCTCCACCCACCTGCCACACTTGAACTCAGAGGGCAAGGCCAGCTCAGAGTATGTTGGAGATGCAGCATGCCATGGTTAGTGCCCCGTCAGGAAGGAATTCATCATCGGTACCTAGCAGCAATTCCAGTATTCAGTCTATTAAGGGAAAATACCTCATGACGGGGGAAGGAAAGGGAGGAGCAGCATCTGGGGAGGGGAGAATGGGTGGAAATGGAGCCAGTGATGAAAGAAGGAAGATTTGGAAAATCAGTAGCTCCCGAAGTGCGGAGGTCAGCCTTCGGGTGATGTAAGCCTCCTGAGTGGAAAACGCCTGCTCTAGTCACAGTGACTGGGACTTTCGTCCACTGGTCCCTGATCACAGACAGAAGAGTGGAAGGAGTTTATGTGGGAGAAGCAGACACACTGTGAGGAGGAAAAATCATGCGCCTTTTCGTGACTGCCAAGGAAAGAGGTCTCCAGTTGTCTGCGACCTGTCCACTCTACTTGGCTGCCACAGTGCCTGTGTAGCATTTGAAATTCCTTTCGTTATATCCTCCACTGCAACCACAGTTATTTTTCTGCTTTCAGGACGGTTAACGCTTTTCTGTGTAATGTTTGGGTGGCCCTAGCATGATGCCCAGAAACCTAGAACAAAATACGGTGATTGATCCCCGGGGAACGGGACTGGTCCAAGCTCCTGAGTTCTAGACCCATCCGTGACCTTAGAAAAGCACATTACCCTTTTTGAGTACAGGATGCCCTCACTTTATGTTGTTACATTCTTGGAACTGCAGCAAAGCAACATACAAAACCAAGTTTACTGTAGTCTAATTGATGCAAACAAGAGTAAGTTCCTGGGCATCTCATCAGTGTTACAACAAAGACGTTGATCCGGGGCAGGGTTACTTGAAGGCCTTCTGTATAGGGAACGAAGGGTAACTCTCCCTTTGTGTGGTTTTTGAGGTTAATTGGAAACACAGGCGCACTTAGTCAGTCATTCCAGTCCCCGTCTTGAATTCCTCTTCCCCGTGTCCTTAGTCTTCTCCTGTATACTCACTGGCTTGCCTTTGAGGAATGCAGCACGTTTGAATGTTGGCCGGAGCCAGGCCTGCCCCGGGGCAGTGGACGTGCCACAATGTTCCTGAACAGAGATGACCTTGTGTGCCGTGCCCTCCTCTGTTCCCGTGACCCAGAAGTCAGGCACGCGTCCCATACGGGCCCAGCGTCATGCTGTCTAGGGTGACCACTCAGACTTGACTCTCCCATCTCCCTTGTCCCCTTCTCCCCACAGGACCCTTTTGGAGAGAAGCGGGGCCACTTTGACTACCAGTCCCTCTTGATGCGCCTGGGACTGATTCGTCAGAAAGTTCTGGAGAGGCTCCATAATGAGAATGCCGAAATGGACTCTGACAGCAGCTCATCTGGGACAGAGACGGACCTGCACGGGAGCCTGAGGGTTTAAATCCTGCTCCCCTCTCCCTCCCCCCACTCGAGAGTCCCGGCAAAGTTCCTTCCCCCACCCCAGGGATGGAGAGGCACTGTGTATCTCCCTCCAACGTGACGTCATTCTGCAAGATAGCAAGAACCAAGCAAGCTTGGATCCCAGGGTGCGGGGATGGGGAGTCTGTTCCCGATCTGACCTCCTTGGCTCTCGAGCATCTGGGGGCTTCGTTCATCCCATATCAGGGGCCAAGGTACCTGTGCAGGAGCACATAGGGTGAGGGCCTTTGGCAAAAGCAAACAACCAACACACCTCTCCACAGGGCCAGCTCCTTAGGGATAGGTGGGAGGTAGAAATTGCAATTCCAGGAGGGAATGTGCCCAAATGATTTGTGGGGTAACCGGAAGGGAGTTTGGGGTGGGGGGGCCGTCTGTGACATTTAAGCAGTCTGGGTGGTTGTATGTGTCTCCTCGGTCTTGAAGCAGGGCTTCCCCGCGCCCTTTTCCTCCTTGCCTCTCTTCCCCATTATTTCCCATGGGCCAGCATAATTTTGTTTTCCCTAATTTATAGTCACTGTTCTAGACAGACCAAAGAGAAGGAACAGTGGTGGAATCTAGGCTGCTGATCAGTGAGCTTTACCTAGCACCTGAGCACCTTTCTCTCCTGTTGCCCATCTCCCCCCACGCCCCATTTTTGAGATTGAAGACAGAAAATAAATGTGATAGGACTCGAACCAAGTTCTGGGTAAAAGCCCTCACAGGCACCGTAGGTAGCTGGAGATGCTGTTTGTTCCCAAAATCATTGGAAATTTCCCAACTCTAGCAGCTGCTGGGTGTATGGGATTCGAGCCACTAAATAGGATAGTCTCTTACAGATTTCCATAAATACCAGTCACAATGAGGGTGTTTCTCCTGGGTGTGGTGAGGGGCAGGCTGATACTAGTCCTGTTGTATTTTGCTTGGCTGTCCTTGTGGATTTCCCCCCACCCCAGCCTGTAGTCATCCATCCTCACTTCAAGGCCCAGGGACTAGTGGGGAGCAAGGGGAGCCAATAGAGATCGGGGCGGGAGATTTCTAGATTTCTGGAGACTCCTGTCTCCCCAGCCCCTCCCAGCTGCTCCGTCACCTGCTCTGATGGGTGTTTGCCCTGCTGTGTTGCTTATCTGTATTTATCTGCAGTGATCCTTAGCTGGTTGGCTGAGAAAAATATGCTTTAGGTGCGCTGTGATACTGGGCAAGGAGGGAACCCACCCTCCCTACTTGCTGTGTTCTCCCTGTGCTTTCCAGAGGCTTGTTAAGGCCTCCCATGGGGTGTTGGTTCTCTGCGTGACACGGCCCCGCCAGTAACCAGCTGCGTGTGGGGAGGGATAACGTGTTTTCTGCTCTGCCCGCCTTTGTCTTGTGTATCGTGGGACTTGCCTGGGAGGTGCTGGGAAGGAGGTTGGGCACAAAGGAGAATGTCCTACTTGGGAGGCCAGGAAGCAAACTGCACAGGAAGTGGGTCTGGGGCACGGAAGTTTACCTTCGGTATCTAAATGTTGGGTCTTTTCACAAGGAGGCTCAAAAAAGGCACCCTGCTTCCAATTTCCCCTCTTCCGTTCCCAGAGGTAGGACAGGGCTGGGAAGAATGCCCTTGGTCTGCTGGTCCAGTGTTGTCTGTCATCCATTTAAGTGTTCCCACTTCAAGTGACAATCCTCTCCCTGGCCCTGCCATGGGCAGAGCACGTCTGGCATACTGGCCTGACTTTTACGCCCTAATCTTGAGGAAATATATGCACAGGAGTCAAAAGAGATGTCTTTATATCTGACTGTACATAAATGAAGTTTTTTTTTTCCTTTTTGGTGCAATAAAGTTTGTTTGGCAGAAGGAGGAAGCGCCAATGGGTGTGGGAGGGCTTGTGTGAAGGAAGAACGGGGTACCAACCACACATCTTGCTGAGGCCGGAAAGTGCTCAGTGAATCGTCTGGAAGCTGAAACCGTACATGCTGTGGGTGGGAACAGGGCTGCTGGTGAGTTTTCCACCAACCAGAAGTAGGGTCTTTTTTTTTTTTTTTTTTTAAGACACTGGCTCTGACAGTCAAGGAGAGGGGTGCCATTGTAGCCTCAGTGGCTTCCAAAGGAAAAAACGCCAAAACTGGAAAGTGACCATGTCCTACAAGGGCAGACAGATATAAACGGGCTTAGCTTTACGCTATGGTAACCGTGGTTTAGGATGGATAATCCATTGGGTTGGTTTTCTGTACAAAATCATCCCTTCCTAGGAATTAGCATTCAGACTGCAGACTGGGCTTGACTAGCCTTCCTGCTTATCTCCACCTTCCCAATTTGCAATGGAAGAGCTTTGCTGGTCAGTGCAGAGGACTTTTGTCTTGACCGGCCAGTCTGTGCCATGTGAAGTGTGGGCTTGAGTTAGTGGGCCTAGGCTCTAGCTTTGGCTCTGCTGCTAAACCTGGTCACTGGCAAATTAGATTCCTTGTTTGCAAAGTTAAGGACACCTACTTTTTTAAGGTGGTTAAGAAGTGTGTATAGAAGTGGTCACAGAGCAAGTGTTCTGGGAGTTCCCTTCCCACCGCTAAGGCTAGTAAGGACCTAGTGATCAGTACGGGAGAGCTGGTTGGGAATTTGAAAATACCACATTCACTATCGGTTGGTTTCCCTAAAATTTCATTGTTTTCTTCCCTCTAACCACCATTTAACATTAACTTCTATTTCCTTCATACTGTTATAACCTGGAACCTCTTCAAGAGGAAGCGGAAAGAGCAAATACAATCTACTGGCCTTTTAGGATCTGCTTATTTGAGATGAACATTTTTATAAGGAAGAGGTTTGGATTACCAGGCTGTAATTTGTCTCAGGGCTACAAAGGGACGGAACTGTCTAGCCAGGAGACAGATTGCCTTCCACCGTGGACTTGTAGGTGACCTGTGCAAGTCACCTGACGTGCTCACTGTTACCTGTGTTACTCAGGTTGCCCCTACTGGATAAATGAGGTCTCCTCCAATAAAGATGCAATGTGAAGGCACTTTAAAAAGAAATAAAGTAATAAGTGAAAAATATTGGGGGAAGGAAAAAATTTGGAACATCTTTTCTGTGGGTTTGGTTTTTTTTTAAACAAAGTTGTCCAGTTTTTATTCACCATCAGGTCCTCCCTCTTCTTGCCTGCTGCCACCCCCACTTCCACACTCCAGGGTCAGGGGAGGGCTTCTCTGGCCTCCTCGGCTGTAATCTCCTGGGAGTAGAGGTCAGTGAAGAGAGCAGGCAGCCAGTAGTGGGCCTCCCCTGGGGCCTGCAGGTCCAGCCAGGCCAGCCCTTCCTTCAGCAGGTGTTCCTAGAGGGAAAGGAAGTCATGTGAGAGAGGGGAGCTCCCACCCCACTCTGGTTTCAGTGGGGTTTTCACTTTAAATCTACATGAGTGCCTTCATACACTGACACAGACTGGAACGATCTGTTTGGCCTTGACCTGTGCTGCTGGAAGAGGGTGAAGACGGAGTATGTTGTGGAGGGGACAGAGTGGCAGAAATACCTGGTGTACGTACGGCCTGGAGCTGATCTCGGACTCCATGCAGCGAAATGGAGATCGCTACCTTTCAGTTAACTTACTGGGCAACACGTGTGGGTAAAACTTGCTGGAGAAGTTAATGGAAGGACACTGTTGCTATGAGAATGGACTCTGTTCCTATAGCTGGAAACAGGCTCAAGATGGGCTGGTTCTGCCCAATATTAAACAGTGTGTGTGCTAACATTACAGATGATGTGTCCACAGGTTCGCTGGATAAGGAAGAAGGTACTAAAAACCTACATTTCCATGCTACTTACTCAAGCTCAGTAATATGTCTTTCATTAGTACCATGAAATTTGTATACATAAAACTATACACGCAATAGTATATAATTATACAGATGCAATACCATGTAATTTAGATGTGATTGTAAGTTGTTAGTACTTTCCCTCATCATGAACTGTTAACTGCCAGTGTAAACTATGTTGACCATCTGACCAAGTTCTACAGTTCAGGAGACAGCAGGTGTTGGTAACCGCCCAGAAGTGGCTGCCTGACTCTGCCCACGTGTCAAGTTTAGAAGCCTGCTTTCGAGTTCTGCCTCTCAGAGCCACCTTCAAAGAAATGCTGGGGTTACTTCCAGTGCGACAGCAGTGGCCTTCGGGGCAAGGGGCCAGCAGGACAAGGCTGAGTTCGTCTGTGTGGTTCCTGACCACCCGACTCCTCCCATCTGGGACCCATCTTTTCTGGGCCCTTCTAAAAGTCACATACCAGCACTTGCCGCGCTCTTTCTGTCTCCCATTTAAGACTGGCTTTGATGTCGCTGACAGTCACGTAGCCACTTTTCTGAAGGAAGAATAGGGACCGAGTCAGTTGCATGTGCTTTCCCTGAGAACCCAGCATCTGCCCCTGGATGACCGACTTAACCAGACAGCAGGAGGAATGGCCTGTGGGCAGAGGAAGCCCCTGAGCACAGAAAAAGAATGTTCAGAGGTCCCAGCAGTGAGGGGGAGAGGAGAGGAGGGGTAACTTTCAGCTAACAGGTTGAGTGGTTTGGTCTTAAAAAGCAGAGTCCCTGATACTAAAATAATTTTTACTTTCTCAGAGAACACTAGAGTGTGACAAGGGAAGGTTTGGAATGATTAATTGATAGGAAAAAATGATTAATGGTGATGATCATTAACTGTTCATAATCTAAAATATTTAAATATTCAGCCCATTTGGCCCTTGCCGTCTCACCGTACCTAATCCCCAATCCAGAAAAGCCCCTCCCTCATTTAGTTTTGCTCTACGTTACAGAATTAAGAAGAGTGAACCTGTCTTCCCTAAACACATGGTAAGGATTCGGGGAAGAACAGCATATGCTTAAGGCATGCTGAAGAAGGGAGGGTGGCGAACGAGATTAAACATTTGTTTTAAAGACTCCATAAGGTAGTGTTAAGAAGACATCCAAGTCTGTCTACCCAAGGAAATACAACTAGTCGTCTGCATGTGTCTGCTCTGCTAGGAGCCCCTTGAGAACAGGAACTATGTGGTTCCCATCTTTACTCAGCCTACGGCCCAGCCCAGTGCTGTGCACTGCAGCTGCTCAATAAACATCTGCTAAATAAGCACAGGTCTGCGTAGTGCAACCCTCAGACGGCTTCAGCAAAAAGACTGCAGTGACAGATCGAAGGCATTCCGGAACCCCCTCCCAGACGGCCCCTGCCACGCGTGTGCACACACACTCTCAGAAGGCACAGCAGTACCTCGGCCAGCTGCAGCACCACGGTGTGATCCATATTGAGTTCGGCTGGAACAGACTGAATGAGGTAAGTGCCGCCCACGGGGATGATGCCGAAGCCAGTGCCAAGTGCCTTTAGTTTCTTGATGGCCCTGATCAGGTCGTCTCTAAGGTGAGGAAGAGCTGCTTAAAGACCCTTGGCAGAGCAGACCTAGCAACAACACAGTCCCAGCTCTGCCCTGGGCAGAGAACGCAGACAGAAGACCCCAGAGGCTGCACAACATTTAAACAGGTGGGTCAAGAGAAGGTTAAAGGGCACCAAATGGTGCTTGGACATGCAAGAGCATGGTCAGTCTCTCCACGCAGCAAACCAAACCATTTCAACAGTGGACAGAGGTAAAACTCAGGCCTGAGGGAGGCCATCAGGAAGTGTGAATGAATGCACTGGACGTGGGGCACAACAGAGTAATGTGAACTAGGGCAAAATCGGACACCCTGTCCGTTTTAATAGGCACAATCCAAAGCTGTTTACTGCTAGACTTGCTAATTTCTTAGTTAACGACTCAAATTAGGGTAAAAGAAAACCTACAAAACGTGCAGACATAGCCAGCCCACAGACTAACGGCCTTTTTTACCTTTTCTCAAATTGGAGTCAATTTATACCCATCTTCCGACCCCAACTCCATTCCCTAGCCTTTCTCAGTGCCTGCTCTGTTATCCTCCATCTCAAATAACCTCAGGAGTACATACAGACCCAAGAAGGTTTAACAAAATACACAGGTATGCATGAAAAAAATACTTAGAAACATACCAAAATACTTAACAGTTGTATTCTCTCAGTTGAGAAATAATGGGTGGGTATTTTTTTTTAATCTCTCTCCATATTTTGAGTTTTCCAAAATAAAAACTTCTTTTTCTGATCATAACGAGTAATAAAAACAATCCCTAAACTATCCAAGACATACACGCAGTAAGGAGAAGTAACAGCCACCTGATGTTTAAAGCCCTCTCTATACTCCATGGGGTCGGAAGTTAAGACCTACTGGCTGACATCCTGGGCGAACTTGCCCCTTCCTTTCAACACCTGTTGATGCAGCTCCTCCAGCGTTATCAGACCTGTTGGAGAGGGGACAGAAAGCAGACTGAGGGTTACCTTTATGGCCATAAAATTAAAAAATAAACAAACAACAAAAAAAGGGGCAGCATCACCTTTGGGAAGCTAAGCCCTGGCCCGGTAGCTCAGCTGGTCCGAGTGTCGTCCCCATACACCAAGGCCGTGGGCTTGATCCCCAGTCAGGGCGCACACAAGAAACCACCAGTGAGTGCACAAGTAAGCAGAACAACAAATCGGTGTTTCCCTTCCTCTCTCCCCTCCTCTCTCTCAAAAATCAATAAATAAAAATTTTTTAAAAGAAAAACTATACATTGATGTCTATTGACATCAATGCAGTGTCTTATTTATAACCAATACTTTTAAGATTTCACTGACTTCAGAGAGAGACTGATTGATTGTTTTCACTTACTGACACATTCATTGGTTGATACTTGTATGTGCCCTGATGGAGATCAAACCCACAGTCCCAATGTACCGGGATGACGCTCCAACCAACTGAACTACCTCGCCAGGGTTATAACCAACGATTTATAACTAGTTTTAAGTTTTCTCTTTCTTAACTTCAATAGACCACTTACTGTGCTCATTAAGATGACGCTACCAGCCCTTGCAGGCGTGGCTCAGTGGACTGAGCACTGGCCTACGAAATGAAAGGATGCCGGTTCAATTCCTACTCAGGGCACAAGCCTGGGCTGTGGGCCAGGTCCCCACTCGGGGGCATGTGAGAGGCAACCGATCTATGTTACTCTCACACACCAAAGTTTCTCTCCTCTTTCTCCCTTTCTGTCTAAAAAAATTAAATAAGATGACATTACTGGGTGACCATATTTAAGGTCCCATTTTTTTTTTAAAGATTTTATTTATTTGTCTTTAGAGGGGAAGGTGAGAGGGAGAGAAACATCAATGTACGGTTGCCTCTAGTGCGTCCCCTGCTGGGAACTGGCCTGCAACCCAGGCATGTGCCCTGACTGGGAATCGAACCGCGATCCTCTGGTTCCCAGGCCTGCACTCAATCCACTGAGCTACACCAGCCAGGGCGAAGGTCCCATTTTGGATAGCACAGACACTCGGTTGGCATCACCACACCCTATTTTCCTACCTTGCTACTATTTTCTGCAATGACGAGGGGCTAGACCTTCCTAGCCAAAGATCTGTGGAGAATGGAGACAATCATTCCGGTAATTCCATTCACCCTTGGCCATAGAGACCTACCACGGATACAACTGCATGAAGAAGCTAAGATGTTTCTCAAGACGTTGCAGGTCTGCAGAGTGCAGGGTGTGAAAGGTAACTTTTCAAGGTCTCTCCCTCTCAGAAGTACAAGAACCCAGCCACCCTCACCTCCATTCCGGTGCTTCAGGGCCAGGCACACTTCAATAATCTGGACGCCCAGCTCATAGTAGAAGTCTCCCACGCCTAGCATTTCAGACCAAAAGCCTTTTCCAGCTAAAAGACAAGAAAACAAAAGCTAGGTTATTCATTAATCACACCTCTTCTTTCAAAGCTAGATTAAAACATCTACCTAGGGTAGATGTCCTACCCTAGGATTCCCTAGGGTGAGTCTTCCCTGCCTAGCCTAAGTCCTTCTGTTCCGTTTACTACTTAGGATCCTCAGCGCAATCTGACTCTTGGGAATTCCTGCTAAAGAACAGGCTCAGGCAGTTCTAAAGTGTAGGCAATCTAAAAGGCATTTCTATCTGGCTGCTGATTCTGGCTCAGGATGCTATAAAGATGAGTTTTCCTTTCCCAAAGCCTACAGTGAAACGTAATGAGACATATGGTCCAGACAACGCTGAGAGAAACATGCAGACCGAGCATTCAAAAATCTACTGAAGACAATACTTTACTGAGTGAAAAATGCAGGTTGTAGAGTCATAATTATAGCATTAATCCCTTGTATGTAAAACAAAGTTTATAAACATGACAAAGGTGTCTAGAAAGATATAGCTTAAAACTGTTAGGAGCACTTAATCTCTACAATCAGGGCAAAGTCAGAAGGCTTCTTTCTCCCATTTTTCTGTCATTTGCTGATTGCATGATCACATACTACTTTCATTAAAACTAAGTTATTTTTTTAATAAAGGAGAAAAATAGCCATAAAAAAATTCCACTGTAGATCATTCAAGGGAAAATCGTGTACTCTGGCTTCTCAAACTGCATTCCAGACTCTCCATCTTCCCCATCAAACTGGGCACCCAGTGTCCTGCTAGGCACTCCCTAAAGACAAAACTTTCTGTATCTCCCTGCAGGCCCTTCTAGAAGATGCCCCTGTAACAGCAGAGATGACAACTAGGTAGCTCTGTCCCTTTGGAATCCTAGGAGAACCCTAGACTCCCAAAGACAACCCCTTACAGGCCAGCGGGTCCACCCCAATGGTGGCACACATGTCCTGGAACTGCACTCGGAACTCGGGATTCTTCCGGATCTCTTGTTTGTGCTTGCTGGCAAATTCCTCCAGGTTGGTCTTGAACATGTCCAACTGCTTCGACATCTGTAAGATGAACAAGGGGGAGGTTAGGGGCAGCCCACCTAGGTGATAATCAGATGCCAAAAATAAGTCACTGACCAAGTTGCAGGGCAAAGACTGAAACAGCCTATGTCCCCAGGCCTGCCATTATGCTGGTTTTCTGTCCCCTTTCTTTGGATCCTTGCCTCTCCTTCACAGGTCTGTTGTCAGCAGAAATGCGATGCTGTAATGTTTCCTCAATTCTTAAACACACCTGTTTTTTACTACGTATTCCTGATCTCGAGTCAGGATGCATCATCCTGATGCATGTGCACATCTAATGGGATACTACTTTTTTTTTTCAGAGAAAGGGGAAGGGAGGGAGAAACAGAGAAACATCAATGTGTAGTTACCTCTTGCACACCCCCACTGGGGACCTGGCCTGCAACCCAGGCATGTGCCCTGACTGGGACTCCAACCAGCAACCCTTCGGTTCACAGGCTGCACTCAATCCACTGAGCCACACCAGCCAGGGCTATGGTCCTTCCTTTTCCCAATAAAACTGTTATTAAATTGGAGACAAACCTAATAATCCATTTTATCTTAAAAATGAGGGAATGCAGCATTCACACAATGGGAAATCTTCAACCACTGACAGAAGAGCCGGAGAGGAGAGAAAGCAAGGCTGCCATGCGTTGGTGCGCAGCGCTTGTTCAGTCTGAGTCAGGACCTCCTGGAGGAGGAGCTCCAGACAACGATTCACTGATGGAGAGGCTGTGGATCCACCAGACTCCATTCCAAAGCTAAATACAGATCTTCTGAGGGGCTTTCTGACTTTCTATTTGTATTACTCCTGCTCCCAAAACCTATCTCCTACCCCACCAAGGGTAACCACTTCTGGCCCAGTATCTCCGCATTTGCTACATATTAGAAAGTTACACACTGTTATAGCCATTGTTTCCTGTTGTTGCCTGCATGCCATCTGCCCATGAGTGGGAGCTTCTGAAGAGCATAGAGCCTGTGTTTATCATCTTTCCTCAGCTCAAGGGTCCATTTCCCCGTCCTCTTCTTACCAGTTACAATCACTGAGTAAATTCAGGGCAAGCACTGAGAAGGGAAGTGTTAGAAAAAGAGACTGCACAGGGGTCACACCCCAGCACTTATACACACTTCTGGTGTGCACCTAGCTGTGATGGTGGTGGCGGCGGGTACGCAGGTTAGGTAGTATTTCCACGTTGTTCTTAGACATTTAAAGTAAAAACTCCAAAAGATGCAAATCAAACAGCTTTACCACTTACTGCCCATGTAACCGTGGATAAATGAATTAATACTTCATGTCCTCAATCTTAAACTAGGAAGAAGAGTGCTCCTTCCTTATACCATGAATGAACAAGATGGTCTATGTAAGGAAAATGGGCACATGCCTGGGAGGCTCTGAGCATGTAACTGCTCGAAGACTTTAGTTATTATTATTTTATTATTATTATTATTAGCAAGTCGCCTAGAAGATCTGAGGAGCCCAGAAATCAAGACTTGCCAAGTACCCTATTTTTAGTTCAATCCAAACAGCCCAGTTTATGTCAAAGGTGTCCTGCCTAACTTTGTGGGAGTTTTCCTTTCCTGCCTGCAGCCTTCCAACCGACTCACCTGGGCCAACTGGTCCTCAGCCAAGACAGTCCCCCGCTCCTTATACTTGGCCTGTCAGACAAAGAGACCAGTATGAGTTGAGAATGGACGCTGGGGGCTCCCACTTGTACTGCCTCGACTGAAAAGAGAAGGGTCTCTCTTAAACGATTCTTCTTAGGGAAAGGGACGAGGAAACAGAGCGGACAACTCGTCTGCAGTCGAATTTGGGAACGTGGGGGAAAGGGTTGGTGGATCTGGGGATGCTGACATTCCAATCTACCGGAAGTTGGAGAAACTCCGTTCCCGGGGACCCGAGAAGCCCGTGCCAGACTCTGTCGGGAGGCGATTTGAGCGTACAGTGCTCTCTGCTCCACAGACTTCAATCTCCCGCGGGTCAAGGACGGCTGTGGGTCCACCTTCAGTCCCTCACCTCGGCTAGCTTCTTCTTGGCGATGGCGCCGGCTCCCACCCCGCGGCGGTGCATCCCCGCCGTGGGCCCGCGGGCCGCCCCGCTGCCGGGACCCCCGGTCTCCGCTCCCCGGGATCTGCCGCGGGCTCCCCAATGCGGAAGCGCGGTCCGTGCGTCATCTCCGCGCGCCGGAAGCTACGCGCCGACTTCCTGCCGCGGGGCTCCGGGTCTTCCAGCGCCGCGGGGCTAGGGGCCTTTCGCTAACGGCCGAATGGCCCGGAACGCGCGGTCTCCGGATGCCAGCAAGACCCCAGGCTGTCTTGCTGCGGCCCTGTGTTCCCCGCCCAGTGGACACCTCGGACCCTCTCATCCTCTTGTGACTGCCCCTCCACTACCACCCCAGCACCAATGGTCGTCGGCCGGCCGCTCGGTGGTTGGGCACCGAGGGTTCCGTATAGAACGTAAACCAGAATCCATTCTGCACCAATGGAGCTTACCTGTGAAAGTCACACGCATGGATTCTAACCGGCGAAGGCCTTACGGTTCAGAACCTGGACTCCGGAATTAGAGTGCCTGGCTCCATAACTTACTTCCACTGCATACGGTCCAGTAACTTCAGGCAAATTCCTTAATTTCTTGTATTGCAATTTCCATAGTTGTGAAAACAATTACGAAGTTGTGAGGATTAAGTCAGAAGGTATACAACAAATCATTTAGTACAATGCCTGGCACATCAGTAAATATTAGGTATGATTGTTACGCATCAGGGCTGGAGTGGTATCAGTCACCTGTGTGTTCAGGAAGCTCCAATGGTGATTTTTGCTCCCATTGGTGATTTCAATAGCATTATTGAGTCTCACAAAGATGGAGGATTCTTAAGTCAATAAGTAATAAGATCACATTTTTATTTTAGAAAAAGTAGTGGCAACCTATACTTCATTCAGTTTCTGCAATCTGAACTAAAAATAATGAGGACCAGAACTAAGATAGTGGCAATAAGGATAGAGAGAATGGGACAAAGGAGATATTAAGGAGGTGAAATGACAAACTGATCAGATGGGGGAAGAGTAAGTGTGAAAAGTCAGCAGGACCCTCCATTTTCTGGCTTGGGCATCAAGGGCGGTGCCACTGGGAGACAGGGAGACCACAGCATGAAGTTGGGGAAATAATTAAGAGTAGTTTCAAACTTGCGGAAACGGGGCTGCCGGCCATCACAGGAGAGATGGCCAGTTGTCATTTGGATGTACTGGTATGCTCTACAGAAAGAGCCAAGCTGGGCCCTGGCTAGTGTGGCTCAGTGGATTGAGTACCAGCCTGCAAGCCAAAAAGTTACAGGTTCAATTCCCAGTCAGGGCACATGCCTGGGATGCAGGCCAGATCCCCAGTTGGGGGCATGTGGAATGCAGCAGATTGATGTTTTTCTCCCACTCTTTAAAAAAAAAAAATAGAGATCCACATGGAACCAAGGTGAATAATGTTATCAGAGAGGTTTCCAGTAAAAGGATGAGAGGATGAGTACAGAGACTGGTGGCAGGATATTTAGTTGGGCTGGTGCGTCTCAGTGTTTTGAGTCTGGCATGCAAAACCAAAAGGTGGTTGGTCCAGTTCCCAGTCAGGGCACAGTTTCGGTCCAGGTCCCAATTTGGGGGCATGGGGGGATGTGAGAGACAATTGATCGATGTGTCTCTCCCATATTACATCAATGTTTCTCTCCCTCTTTCTCTATCTCTTCCTCTAAAAATAAAATCTTTTTTTTTTTTTTAAGATTTTATTTATTTATCTTTAGAGGGGAAAGGAAGGAGAGAGAGAGAGAACTGGCCTGCAACCCAGGCATGTGCCCTGACTGGGAATCGAACCGTGGTTGCTTGGTTCCCAGGCCCGCGCTCAATCCACTGAGCTACACCAGCCAGGGCCAATAAAATCTTTTTTAAAAAGAATATTAAAAAGAGAGAGAGAGAGAGCATAGCTGTGAGCTCTATGAGCCTGAGCCCCTGAGGATTTCATGGCGCAAAGGTGTTACACCAGCCCTGGACTGCCTGCCTGCCGCTGGATGTTCACAAGAAAGAGAAATGTTCTTGCTAAAGGCACTGTTACTTTGTGGGGGTTTTTTTGTTGTTGTTATTTGAGGCAGCATATAATGTTAATGGATGCAAGGGCCAAGCCTGAAACAATCATTCAGTGTTTCATAATCATCCTTCAGTTCATTCTCATACACACCCTCAGACGCTATGCTCAGATTGCATAAGCCTCCTTAATACACAAACTTTCTCAGACACAGATTTGTCCCCTTCAGCAGATACTAGCCTTTTCAGACCCCGCCCTCGTACATGCCAATCTCCTCCAATATGCTGACCCACCCCTCTCTGTGAAAAACACTGGTCTCACACTGCTACACTGACCTCACGTCCTCATTTTCCTACTACACCACTCCCTGACACAAAAACTTGGTCCTGTAAGTACACACTGACACCATCTAGACACACCTGCTTCATTTGTCACTTTTTGACTCACACTGTGTGACTCCTTAAGGTGCACACGCTGATCCCTCACTAGCACCCATGACCTCAGATTTCTCTGTTCAAACCCTCAATGCACACACACACCTGCTCCCTTATGTACAGACCTTGGCCCTTGATAAACCTCTCTGCCACCCTCAAGCAGACGTGCTCATTCCTGTATTCAGACACATTTGTTCTCCTTGATAATTTTAGAGAAATTACGCTGCCCAGTAATGTGCTGGTAAATGTTTAACAACCACCTCTCTAGGTGGGAAGGGAGGAGCTCTGATTTATAACATTTGCTGATTTCCTTGGCATAAATACTCCAACCATGGCCGATTTCAAGCTATCAGTGGTTGTACGTGCTCTCAAAATTCCTGGCAGTTTAACAATGGCTCTCAGAAGCACTCTGCCACAGCACACCGTGAATGCTGGTTATCACCGATGCCTTCCCTGCTTTAAGTGACTTACTGGCCTTCTGGCAAAGTGGCTAAGAGCACAGGTTTTTATTGTCTGCTTCAAGGAGGCAGCCAAGTGCCTGGTTAACAGCTATTAAGGTTTCATTGTCCTAGAGGGTTGTGATGAAGCTTTAAATGAGATCACTGTGACTTTTTCAAGTGATGTTTATACATTTGAACAGCAAAAAACAAACAAACAAAAATAAAAAAACTTCAAAAGCTGCAAACATGTTTAGGAGAGACTGAGCACAGCCCTGGGCACGAGTGTCCAACCCACAGCCCGTGGGGCTGCATGCGGCCCAACAAAATCGTAAATTTGCTTAAAACTTCTGTTGTTTTGCTCATTAGTTTTCGTTTGTGTATTTAATGTGTAGCCCAAGACAACTCTTCTTCCAGTGTGGCCCAGAGATGCCCAAGGGTGGGGCACTTCTGGAGCATCATCCAGACAGGCCAAGGCTACGGGTTTGATCCCTGTCTGGGCACATACGGGAAGCAACCAATGCCTGCATGAATGAGCGGGAAAACAAATCGATGTTTCTCTCTCTGTCTCAAAAATTCAATAATTTTTTTAAATTTTAAGAAAGCACAATGCCTGCCCCATCACAAGAACATTATACAAAATATATTTTAAATAACCCTTTCTGATTTACTGACTCCAGAGACACCCCAAGACTCCAGAAATATAGATCCCAACTTCTCTCCAAGACCATCAGCTCTATCGTGAAGACTCCCACCCTTGGGACAAAGGTGTGCTCTAAGTTGTGTGGTACACACTCTTAGGACTCCAAGAGTTTAGAGGAGAGAAAACCAAATATGTCAGAGCTGGAAGGGATGGCAAACTGGCAGCCCTCGGGGAAATTCAGCTCTCCAAAGGGTTTCGTTTGGCGCAAGAGTGCTTTTAGGCAAGCGTGACTCTTCCAGGTTCGCAGTCCCCATTTCTCCCATTGTCTTACACCCTCCCCATGTTGCTCATTTACATTACTGGCGCAGACCTTCAGCCACCCAGCTTGCCACTTTCTGATTTTAAAATAATACCCCTGTGTTTTTAAACTGAAGTTTAGGTGCATGAGAATAATGACAAAAGTTAGCCCTGGCCAATATGGCTCAGTTGATTGCACTGTCGTCCCATAAACCAAAAAAAAAGCTGTGGGGTCCATCCCGGGTTGGGGCACATGCCTGGGATGCAGGTTCAGTCCGTGGTTGGGGCATGTACAAGAGGCAACCAATCAATGTTTCTCTCCACCTCTCCCCCTCCCTTCCCTTCTCTCTAGCATCAGTAAGCGTGTCCTCAGCTGAGGACTAAGAAAATAAATAAAGCCCTGACAGGTGTGGCTCAGTTTGTTGAGCACTGTCCCACAAAGTGAAATGTTGCCAGTTCAGTTCCTGGGCAGGGCACATGCCTGGGTAGCAGGCCGGTCCCCAGCTGGGGTGCACACAGAGGCAATTGATCAATGTCTCTCTCACACACACATATTTCTCTCCCTTTCCCTCTTTTTTTTTTTTTAAGATTTTATTTATTTATTTTTAGAGAGAGGGGAAGGGAAGGAGAAAGAGAGGGAGAGAAACATCAATGTGTGGCTGCCTCTCTCACGCTCCCCTCTACTGGGAACCTGGCCTGCAACCCAGGCCTGTGCCCTGACTGGGAACTGAACCAGTGATACTTTGTTGCACAGGCCCGCGCTCAGTCCACGGAGCTACACCAGCCAGGGCCCCTCCTTCTAAAAATAAGTAAATAAATGAAATTTAGAAAATAACAATAATAATAACAACAACAACAATAAAAGTTAACATGTATTGACCATTTTGTGCCATACATTATCTTAAGATTTACTTTAATCCTATGAGGTGGATACTTTTTAAAGACAGAAAATTGAGCGTAAAAGAGAGAAACTAACTTTCTAAGTCAGAGAGCTAGTAGGTGATTGGAATCTAGGTGTATCTGAATCCAGTCTCCCCTAGATGACTAGAGCAAGGGGAGAGGCGGAGACATTCCAGGAGAAGACCCAAGCAAGGGGCAGAAGGCACTTTTGTGGACACGGGGCTTGGGGAGGATGCAGCCGGCTGGGGCAGGAAGGCTCTGAACACGGGGAGGTAAAGGCATTGACTTTTGGATGCACTGAGTTTGCCATGTCCCTCCACCCCCACTGTCATCACCCTGGTGTGACTCCGAGACCCTGCAGGAGCCTCCGTGCTGCTCCTCCACGTTCATCCCTGTCCATTTCAGTATAATTCTTACTGCCACCGGTACGATTGTTTTGGAATACACATGGACCCTCTCTGAATTGTCCCTGCTTAAAACCTTTCAGGGACTTGTGTTTGCACTGAGGATAAAATTCAAAAGCTTTAAACATGGTCTTTAGCCCTGGCTGGTGTGGCACAGTGGATTGAGTGCTGGCCTGTGGACCAAAAGAGTTGCTGGTTCGATTCCCAGGCAGGGTCCATGCCAGGGTTGTGGGCCAGGCCCCTGGTTGGGGGCACACGAGAGGCAAGCATACATCGATGTTTCCCTCTCTCTCTCTCCCCTCTCTCTAAAAATAAATAAATAAAATAGAAACATGGTCTTTAAAGCCCAGCCTCTGCTTGTCCTGTTCTCCCCATTGCCCACTTTGCTGTAATAGTAACACCTTAATGCTAATATGTATTAATGCTCCATTCATCCTTTGGTCATTTTTTTCCTTCAAATCTTATTTGGTTTACATGCCGTTTTCTCCAGAAGGCTCTGCTGACTCCCTCTCCACCTGGATAAGCTTTTCTCCGTCCTTTCTCAGAGCAACCTCATCTTTCTTCACCTAGCTTAGTGCGTTATGTGGTTCTAACATTTGTGTGTTTGAAGATTAATGTCTATCTTCACCTCTAGCCTATAAACCCCTCACTGGGACAAGGATCGTGTCTGTTTCCCTCACTACTGCACACCCAGTGTTTAGCACAGCCCCTGCTTATGAGAAGTTTCCAAGAAGTGCAGAATAAGTAGATGAATTAACAGACAGGTAAGAGCCACATCTTCTCTTCCTCGGGTGGCGCACACACAGACAAACTTCTTGTTAATGCTCAGCAGACACTTGAATAGGTATTGATAAGAGGCACAAAGATTCATTTCAGCTTGAACTTTATTGGTTTGGCTTCTCCAGGGTACCCAGGAGTGGGGCCAAGGCCGGAGCTGAGTAAATGAAGGGCAGAGTCCAGTCCCGAGCCGGGTCTAGTCAGTCACTGCAACCTGTGGGGAGTGAAGGGAGGAGGGGAAGGGGTGGAGAGGAGGGTCGTTATCAGCTTGGGGTCAGCAAATGGAACTTCTACTGGCACCCAGCCAGAGGTAACCTGCTCCTGCCTCCAAATTACTTATTTTAAGTATAAATAGTCAAAACGATTTTTACAAAAGCTCAGAGACTGTTACCCACCTTCCTATGGAGATTTTCTCATCCTCTCTTCTCTACTGTCCTGGTCACATTCCTCCCCCCTTCTCATCCTCTTACAGGAAGTCCTCCCACATTTGTTCCCTCAATCCTTCTCTAGCTCCCCAGCACCGAAGTCTAAATGTATTTTGGTTTCTGAGCCTGGGTGTCTGCATTCTGAATGAGCGTCCTGTCTCACCCTTCAGGTGGCCTGGGTCTCTCCATGGGATTTAGCGATCCCTTTCTTCTAGAACATAATAGATTGAATAGATGCCCTTCCTGGCTGGTGGGGTGCTTTCAAGGACCATTGAAATAAGTGGCAGCTACAGAGAAGGGCAACGTGCCTCCAACTATATTGGTTCCATCGCTGGGAAGGCGACACAGCACAAGGGTGCAAGAGGGAAAGCTTTACCCTAGAGCAGAAGAAATAGGGTGGGCAGGTCCAGCCGGTGGGCAGGGGAGGTGAGAGCAGCGCCTCGCTTGCAGGAAGTTGAAGAAGAAGTGCAAGCAGTCATAACAGTTGCCAACATCACTGAATTCTCATTACTCTACAGATGTTGCTCTCACCTTTTTCCTTGCATTTTCTTACTTAAAACCTATAACAGTCCTGAGAAGTGGTTTAAATAGCCCCATTTTGCAAGAAAACATGGAGGGTCAGAGAGTCTAAGAATCTGCCAGCACATGTTAAGGTGAAGATCTGAACCTGTGTCTGACCCCAACACCCAAGCTGATAACCACACGCAGGACAGCCCGGGCCTCCCCACTCTGCCACCTGGGCCTGCAGAGCTCCGTCTCATCCACCATCCAGGCCAGCAGCTCTGGAATCAGAAAGTTCTTCAGCAAATCTTCATCACCGAGCTTCTTGGGTAGGGCGCTGCAAAGGAGAGAGCCTCAGGCAGGCCGCCCAAGCCTGGGCCCCACCCAGAGAGAGTAAATACGGGACTGGGACTCCAAGGGGGGAGCTGGGGGTGGGGAGGGAGTCAACACAGCTGCCACTCCGCCGCCTCAGCGGTAAAGCTCCAACCCGCCTGTCTGTCTGTCTGTCTGCAGGGGCGGGCACAGTCCCTTCAGCACAGGCGAAGCCGATAGAACTCTGACGTTGCACGTCCAGCCCCTCCACCTCTGTGAGGGTCCCAGAATGCATCCCGAACCCCCAGGAGATTATTTGGCAAATATTTACTGCTTTTTAAAATTTGTATTGGAAAGAGATAGAGGAAGAAGGAGAGAGAAACATCCCTTTGTTGTTCCACTTATTTATGCACTCACTGGTTGATTGTTGCAAGTGCCCTGACCGGGCATTGAACCCACAACCAACCTGGTGTATTGAAACAACACCCTAACCAACTGAGCTCCCGGCCAGGGCAACTGCACTCTTCAAGATGATCTGTGCCATAGATTCCTTGGCTTCCTCGGAGAGGGGGTAACTGATTTTAGGGACTGGCCCCGGGCAGGAAGGTCCCGGTTCCATAGGTATTCTTCTTGACGTGTGGCAGGGAGAAGTGGGGAAGCCGGTCCCTGAGGTCTCTCACGGGCCGTCCTGCACACTCGCTAAGTCATCAATCTTAGAAACCCTGGCCCCAACCTCCTCCCAGGACCCCACCCCCCTTCCTCCCAGGCCTCTCCCTCAAGCTCAGGCTGACCTCCAAGAGTTCAGTGAGGACCCCTCTTTGAACTCGGAGTGGAAGGGGCTGCTTATCTGGGGCCTAGCCCTACTCTGGAGCCTGGGAGAGGGAACAATGAGGTGGGGGTGGGTCAGGAGGCCCACACCCCTCCTTCCCCTGTGGGCTGACTCACCCGTGCTGCTCCCTGGCCTCCTTCTTCCTGTGAGATTGATGGGCCGGCTCTAGGGCCTGGGCCTCCCTCTGAGCGACTCTGTGTTTCCAGCTGGTCAGATAAAGATAAGGGAGTGGGTGGCGGAACAGAGGGTACCTTCCCACTGCTCATCTTCAGCTGCCAGTGGGCGGCTTTCCAGAATCTATGATGCCGACCCAACGGCAAGGGCATGGAGAGATTGGGCCAAGTGAAGGGAGTAGGACAAAGACAGTTTATTCCATTTCCAAAGTCTGAAGGGGCCTCCAAAGAGTCATCGGCAGCAGCTCAGCTTCCCCCACCTTCACCCCCAGCCTCCTGGAAATCCCCTGTGAGCCCTACCATCTTCACTGACCCCCGCCCCCCAGGTGAAAATAGGGGAAAGTTGCCCTAGTCCTGCCCCCAGACGGGCCTGCTGCCCGGATTGGGCCGCCATGTCCTCCAGCTCCCTGTCATCCTCTAAGTGAAAGGCAACACCTGGAGCTGTGCATCGCGTGGCGTGTGGCCACATATGGCCCCTGGCCTGACTCCAGAAAGGTAGACTGAGGCACAGGGAGAGGAGGGGCTTGCACAGTGACTCACTCATTCCTCTTCCCCTTCTGTGCCAGCAGCCAGTTCACAAAGTCTTGTTGGCGGATCTTGTCCATGGCAATACTGTAGTCACTGATGAAAGTCCCCTCGGCGTACCTGCGGCCTCGAGGTCCGGAGCCTCTGCCCTTAGTGTGGAATCTGCAGGGCAGGGAGGGGAGAGACTTAGAAACCAGGACACCACAAAGGGCCAAGGGGTGCGGGGAATCGCAAGGCCGGTGTGAATGACTGTCTCTGACCAGGGGCCAACATCTGAAAATGAACCGGCCCATTTCTTGGGACAAAGTTTTGGGTTTTCTTTAAAGATTTTATTTATTTTTATATTTTTAGAGAGAGGGGAAGGGAGAGAGAAAGAGAGGGAGGGAGGGAAACATCAATGTGGTTGCCTCTCATGAATCCCCTACTGGAGACCTGGCTTGCAACCCAGGCATGTGCCCTGACTGGGAATCGAACCAGTGATCCTCTGAGCCTCAGTCCAGTGCTCAATTCACTGAGCCAGAGCAGCCAGGGCAGGACTCAGTTTTTATGAAGACACCCTCTTATCCATGTATTAAGCTGCTTGGACTTCATTTTCAGCTTAAGGGCCCACTTCCTGCATCTTCAGTGTGTGTGGCTCTGGCTTCTGGGTGACGAGGGATCAGGGGGCCCCCTTACCCTAAAGGACTGAATCACAGTTCCCTCCTGGACCGTCCTTGCCCTGGCCATACCTGGCCTAGGTCACTGGTCCCCGGTCAATGCCAACAATAGTGAGCTCTTGCACGTGAGATGTGAGACGGGGCCTCTAACAGCCCTCTAATGCACACTCATTTAACCCTCACACTACGGCTAGCGGGGAGACACTATGTATACCCCCTTTTGTGAACGAGGAAATCAGGGTGCAGAGAGATTAATGTAGCACATGGCGCAGGTGGCAGACCCAGGGTTTACCCCCAAGTGGTCTGGGCCCAGGTCTACGTTCATCTCCATGACACCGTCTCGCCTTGCACATGTTTGACAGCCATGTCTCAAATTTACATCACTGAACTTACAAGCGCATGGCGGCTTGTCCTCGCATCCAAGAATGCCCAGCTCTTTACTTGGATAGGTCTCTGTTGGTCCCCAAAACACAGAGCCCCTGCTATGCTCATTCCTAACACTCCACTTTTCCCGAGTACTCAGGGCAGTTTGCAATGCGCCTAGGCAGTTCTTTGTTCTGCCCTCAGGTCTGCCTGCTTCTCGAGGGCAGGCGGCCTTTGCAGACCGCTCTTCAAATGTATCCCCCCTCCTGGCACCCAGGGGGTTCGCTATAAAATTTGATCAAATGCATACATAAATGAATGGTTAAGGGAGCTACTGTCACCTACTGCAGATACAGCCACTGAGAAGTCCTTCCAGAGATCTAACCACAGTCTCTCCTGCTGCAACAGTAGCTCACCATAAATATTCTGTCCTCACTCTGTACTCACGCTGCTGGCAGATTTTCCCCTGGAGCTTCTCTCCTCTTGGCCTGGGATTCCTCCCATTCTCGCGCCCCCCTTGAAAGCCAGGAGCCAGTCATCCCCCAACCCCCTTCCCAGCAGCCTGCCCCTCCCTCCTCACCCCTACCTGGAATGACCCTCTCCTGTATCTCCTAGCGCCACCGCCAGCAGCAGGGACACCAGCAGCAGAGAGATCTTCATGGCCGGTATCTTCCAAGGGTTATTTCCTGAGCTGAGAGAGAACAGGACCAGGATGAGGGGGAAGCACTGTGCTGAGGGGGCAGCTAGTCAGACAACGTGCTGCTGGCCCCTCAAACCTGTGGGGGTTCTCAAAGCTGGGGGGACACTGAGCCCTGGGGTTTGGAGATTTTCTGTGGCTGGAGTGGGGTTGTTTGTTAGGGTGGGGAGTGGGGGCCATGACAGTAACTACGAGGAACAAGGGGTCTGCCAGGAGGTGAACCTTCTTTCCGTTTTGTTTTTTAAGTGAAGTCTGAGTGGGGAGGGAGGGGGGCAGTGGGGAAGAGATCCAGGCAGAGGAAAGCAGCCTGGACAGCCCCCCTTCCCTGCTCCAGCAGCCAGCGAGACATCACAGGCATGTGGTTTGGCAAGATTCTCCCCGCCCGCCCCCCTGCAGCCCTCCGAAGTTCATACCAGCCAGCCTTCCATCTCTCAGATCAGCTTGTCACCTAAATCATCAGAGCCCTCCTGAAAACCACACAGAGAACCGTCCCTCTCTCCCCTTGTCAGACTTTACTATCTCGACTCAGGGAAGTTTTCTCTGAAGCCTGACCCCTCTGCAGAGGGCTTGCCCCCCTTCGTCCAGGGGTCTTCAACAGGGACGAAAGGAGCCTTCCTCCGGAGCCCCAAAGCCAGGCTGAAGATGGGGGGCTGCCAGACCTCATCTTCCTGCCTTTGTCACCTGGGAGTTAAAGGAACCATCGAGCTGCCTGCTTACTTCTTATATAGAGGGAAGAAAGTGGGATGCAAGGGTGCTCAGCGCCTCGGGGTGCGCAGGTCCCCCTCTCCCCAGCATCCCCTGTCCCAGCTGCTCTCGTACCAAATGTCCTTTCCAGCTCTTCCAGAACAGGATGGGGGTCTCTTCCTCCCAACTTTGGCGCCTCAAGGAAGTCTGCTGCCCCTCCTTTATAGTCCAGCATCACAAACCCTCTGATTAGCCTAAAAGCATCTTATCTCAAGAAATTAAGCCCACAGCTCCTGCCACATTAAGTCCATTTTACCCGTAATAAAGTTTCCCTTTCCAGCTGAACTGTGCTAATTGGTGATTAACATTTGGGTGTTTCCAGCTGCTATCTGGGCCCGCCTGTGGGTGGGGACCTTAAGTGCCCCTTTTTACTCCCCCTCCTCCCTTTCGAGCACAGGGCCCAGCGTCCTTCTACCCCCACTTCTCCCACTGGTGCCCTCCGTCAGGAAGGCTGCCCTTGGTGAGGGCAGACTGGGTAAGACGACACTAGCTGGGGAAGGGGACACTCCCAAAGACGACAGGCTACTTCTGGGTGGCAGAGGGCGGAGCTGCGGGCACTTGGACCCCGGTTCTGGAGAGTGGCCTGCAGCTTTGGCAACGCGGCAGCTGGCTGGGGCAAGACGGGGAGATAAGAGGGCAGTCAGGGGCAGGGGCAGGGAGGACAGAGGTTCCCTGGCAGTAGCTGGGTGCACTGAGAACTCACACGCCAACTGTCTGCCTTCTTAGGGGGTGGAGAGAGTAGAGAAAAGAGGAAGGTTTTCACCTGGGGACTCCGAGAGAGATGGAGCAGCTACGGCTCTGCTTATCCGTGGAGGTCTTCGAAATCCAATGGCGTCTCTTCAAATGCCTGCCTCTCCTACACGGGAGAGGCCTCTGGTCCTGTCCCTGCCATCAGACTGGGGGGCCCTGAGGTCATGCTGTGCCTCTCTGTGCCCCTGGAGGGCTCTCCAGGGCTGGGGCTTGGTTCCCCGGATCACAGTGGGGGCTCTCTGAGGGCAGGGGGTGGACCAGGGGCTGTGCCTTCCCCATCTACAGAGGGTTCCTGAGGCTGGGGCTGCGTCTGCCCCTCAGCCCCACTGGGACGCTCCCGTGGCCTTCCTCCAAGTCCTTGGCGCATGGCTCTGTCCACGGGGGCTCCCCGTCCGGAAGGCACAGGGCGCAGACTGCATTTTTTGTTGACCCCCCAACGCCTTCTTCCCAGGCTCTCCATTCACTACTTGCCATGGACACTTTGAACCATAAACGGCCAAGCTCCTGGAAATGTAGACTCTTCTTGAAAAGAGCAGGTGTGAACCAAGCCAACGAAAGCAAGGAGTGGTGGTGGTGGGGGGACTACGCCAAACTCTTGCTCTACCTCTTGGTTCCATGGCCTGTGAAAGGCCACTTTCTTTCCAGGTGAGCTCCCAGCCTAGGAGCAGCTTCAGCATGACATTAAGTGCTTGTGTGGGATGAGAGGTAACTGGACCAGGAGGGCAACTCACCTCTGCTTCCTAGAAACCTTGACCGCCCACCCCCTATCTTTCACCATGTGGAAGAACTTCGCACTGGGCCAGTTCACCAAACTCCATCTCCCAGCTACCAATAGGCAGTGATTAGACATCCATTCAGACCCGGCCTCCAAAGGGCACACGGGGGCTGCTTGGGGTCCCGCTTCCTGTGGATCGGCACCACTGATGGGCTCAGAAGGGTGTGTCCAAACCCTGGAGGCAGAGAGTCTCTGAGACGGCGGGCACTGTTCTCTGGTCTGACGCCGAACCGGAGTCGAGGAGGTTCTGTGATAGGTTTGGTAGCCCCGCACCCGGCCTGGTTCTCTGTGGATTTGTTTTGAGGGGGGGGGCTGCTCAAAAGCAGCTTTAAGTCCCCACCCACCCCCTCCAGGAGGAGACCTCTCTGCAGCCGCCCTCCCTGTTTCCCTTTGATCTCTGGCTCCTGGGCCCTGCAGTGGAGAGCACAGACTAGGGAGAATGTAGCCTGGGCCCTGAGGGAGAGAGGGATGTGGGCAGGACCAGCTGAGGAGATCAGAGAAAATGCCAAACTCCCAGGGGAGCTCACAGCTTCCCCAACCCACCCACCCCCAGGGCATACCGGCCACCCCGGGAATGGCAAATGTGGCCTTGAGAGGTTTCTGGGCATCAAAAGTGCTTTCAGGACTTGATCAAAATCGTGCAATAAACCCCACTGGTATCTTAGCCAACCCACTCACGCCATGAGGAGAGGTGTGCCCCAGTGTGCAGAACTCCGTGCATGGCAGTGGGGGCACAAGGGCGGGGAGCTAAGGAGGTGGCAGAGCCCGTGGGTACTGCAGAGAATCTCCAGCATGTGAAGGGCAGAGAGGACCCCTCCATGGAGCCCAAAGCCCAGAGTCAAGGGCTGATGGCCCAGATAGTTGGAGAGAGTTAGAGGGGGGGGGATGTCTGAGGAGCCCTGGAAGTCAAGGAATGTGTTCAGGGAAGAGACACCGGCAGGACTGTTGCAAGAGAACCCAGGGACCTGCTTCTCACACACTCCTGGCTTCTTAACTGAAGCCCCAGAATGGCGTGGGAACAGCAGGAGAGCCTTTGGGGTTTGCTGACTCTACCAGCTCCAGGTGGTGAGTCACCAGGCCGCCATCCCCCGCTCCCACCCCATGGCCTGCAGGACCACCGCAGACATTCCAGGCCCAGCTCTGCAGCCAAGCCGGGGTGACTCAGGCATTGGATGCAGCCTTTCAAAGGGGACTCTGCTTTTGAAGTTCGGTTGGTCTTCAAGCTCACCGGCTGACTCAGAAGGCAGAATTCTCTGATCTCTCCTAAAACAGGTGGCAGATTTATTTTCCTCCTTCACAGGAGACAAGAGGTGACAGGAACCTCACAAACTGTGTCCAGTCATCTGGCCTATCTTGATTCTTAGAAGGACTACCGGGACCTTTCCTCCCCAGTCACAGCACAAACGCAGTCACGGTTGCAAACATTCTTGCCCAGACCAGGTAAAGACAGACAACTTTCCAGAACGAGCTTCAAGAAAGAATAGACCACCTCCAGCCTCTCTTGGCCATCTGCTGCAAGGAATCAGTTTGGAAGCCCCCTCTCAGTTCTACCTCCAATCCCTCTTGCTGTTTTCAAAAGCTATTTTGTTTGCTTTTGTTTGTCAAGAAAAGAGCTCAGGTCTTAGTTGCAGCCTAATCCATGGGAGGAGAAACCCACTGAAGAGTTAGAACGGGGAGGGGTTGCCAGAGGTTCTTACTTCCAGGGAGGGAAAGAACTGGTGATGCATTTAGGATAAAAGGCCAAAGGGCTGGACTCCCAGAGAGAGCAGCATTCTTAAGCCCTTCTCTGTTCCAGGGGGGAGTGCGTCCCACAGAAAGAAGGTGGGGAGAGGGAGGGCTTTCCTTCCCTCTTGCTTGCACCAGGACATGAGGGAAGGAGCGGTTCCAGGGTCCCCAGTGGACACTCCCCTTGCATGCACATGCACACAGATTCCTGCAGTGGGTATGGGCTGGGGGAGGCTTCTACAACCCTGATTTTGGAGAGATGAGTAGCAGGACTCCAGCCTCAACGCCACCGTCTCACCATTCCTGAGTAATGTTTAACTTCGGGCAAAGCCCTTACTCACTCAGAGCCTTAGCTTGCCTAACTCTAAACTGGGAATAAGGAAACAAAATCTGCCCTGCCTACCTCACAGGTAAGTGTGAAGTTATTGTGTCTTGTTAATGGGAAGGTCTGGGGAGTGTTGGCTGGTAGTTTTCTCTGGAAGGTGAGAATTAGGTAAGATGAAACAATGAAGCTGGCTGACTCAGCCCGGCACAGAGAAGGCTGTGAAGTTCCATAGGAGGAGCAAGGGTTGGGGAGAGACTCACCTATGCCAGCTAGTAATCAGTTAGTTGCTGATTAGAGCAACTCCTCCTGTGCTTCAGTTTGCCTTTCTGTAAAATGGGGGAGGTAACAATTCCTACCTCAAATGAAGGATTTGGGGAATGTGGATACTTAACTTAGTATTACATTATATATAATACAAGATACATTGTATTACATTATATCTTGATATATTAGTTACTTTTTGCTGCATGACAAATGATTCTGAATGTCTGCAGTTTAAAACAAGGAACATTTTTTATCTCGCAGTTTCTGAGGCTCAGGAATCTGGGCGTGGCTTAGCTGGGTGGTTCCGGCTCCCGGTCTCTGGTCTCTCCCGAAGAAATCGCAGTGAGCTCTCAGACAGGCTGCAACCTCAGAAGACATGCCTGGGGCTGTAGATCACCTCCCTAGCTCACTTTTTGGACTGTGGACTTCTTCCCAGGGCTGCTCACCACGGGGCTTTTTCCCCCAGAGCAAGGGCAGGCACCTAAGATGAAAGCCTAAATGCCTTTTAAAACCTAAATCCAGATGTGACCATTACTTCCACTGTACGGTATGCGTCACACAGGCGAACTCTGGTACAATGTGGGACAGACTATGCAGGAGCCAGGGATCCTTGGGGGCCACCTTAGAGGTTGGTTACCACATATACAAGGAGGTAAAAGTAGGTTTAAGTTGTGAGTATGTAAAATGCGGAGTTAGTAAAGCTATTGTGATCATCATAACCTGCAAATCTTTTTCCATAAGAATGACTGTAAACCTACTTTTGCCTACCCTTGTATAATCAGCCCTAAAAGGTATTGACTGTCACTGGCATTATTATAGAAGATGCTAGATTCATTAAACATTCCTTCTCGTTGTCATAAAACCTGGCCATTGGAAATCTATTTATCTTAGTCTCTTTCTCTATGTGAGAGTGGGGGCTGAGCTGATTTTGGATCCTGAAGACACGGAGGTAGTAATTCCTCTGATATTTTGCAGAGTACAGATGTCATTCTGTTACATTCCGAAAGAGCACTGGATGGTCAGGCAGCAAATATGGCATGGGACATACTTCTGCTAAAAAAAAAAAGTTTAAAAATTGTTGTTTACCTGAAATTCAAATTGAACTAAACATCCCGTATGTTATTTACCAAATCTGGCAACTCTACATAAAAAGCCTTTTGAAATCCCAATACCTCGGTGCCATTCCCAGAGTCATTCATCTGGAAGTTTTAAAAACCTTTAACAGTTGAAAACTTACAGGGAAGTTGCCAACATAATACTGAGAACTCCAATATAGCCACATACTCAACAATTTTCACCATGTTGCTACTTACGTTCTATCTTTCCATTACCTACCTTCTCAGCATTTGAGAGTAGACTGCGTACATCTGCTTCTTTACCACTTAATATTTTCATGTATATTTCTTCTGAACAAAGACGCTCATTCATACAACCACAGTAAGTACAATTACACAATTCAAGTGGTGTAACACTGACGTAAAGCCTACAGTCCACATCGCGATTCTCTCCGATGGTCCCAATCGTGCCCTTTTGGGTGTTTCCGCTCCATTATTAGAGGCAGGCCAGGCCGTGTTCACTTAGTCGCCGTGTCTCTGGTCCCGTGTGCTCTGTTCCTCAGCCTTTCTCTCCCGTGACGCTGACGGTGATGCGCAGAAGGCTTTGGGTTTGTTTGTCGGCTTTTTCCCTAATTAGATTCAGGTTTTGTGTCCTGGCCAGGCCACTAGACAAATGGAGGTGCCCTTGTCACTGTACCCCACCGGGAGGAACTAGGTGTCTGCCTGCCCGTGACTGATGACCATTTTGATCACGCAAAGTTTTTGTTGAATTTTCCCACTATGTAGTTGTAGTTGTTCTTCCTGTAACTAATAAGCTATATTCAGGGACACACTTTAAAAATTTTTTAAAAAATAAATCTAGCTTTTATTTATTTACTTCCTTTTTTATTATTTAATTTAATTATTGTTCAGGTACAGTTTTCTGTCTTTTACTCCCATCCCAGCTCACCTTTCAAAAAATATTTTGAATTGATTTAACGGACTAAGAGAAAGGGGGTGGGGAGAGAGAGAGAGAGAGAGAGAAACATCAATTTGTTGTTCCACTTATACATTCATTGGTAGGGTTTTTTTTTTGGTTCTTTTTTAGAAAGAGAAGGGAAGGGAAGGAGAGACAGAGGGAGAGAAACACTGATGTGTGGGAGACACAGCAATCGGTTGCCTCTTGCCCGCCCCCAACTACAACCAGGCATGTGCCCTGACTTGAGAATCAAACCAGTGACCTTTTGGTTCACAGGCCAGCACTCCGTCCACTGAGCCACACCAGCCAGAGTCATTGCTTGATTCTTGCACGAGCCCTGACTGGGGATCAAACCCGAAACCTGGGTGTACAGGGTCAATGTTCTAACCAACTTCACTACCGGCCAGGGCACGGAGACACTTTTAGACAGTGCAAATACCTTTTCCCTGGTCAGACCTCCCCCACCCTCCGATGTATTTAACAGCCATTGATGATTCTTGCTTGAACCCATCTTTACTGTGATAATGGAAAATGGTCATTTCCCTGTTCACCACTCCCTCCACGGTACCGGGGTTTTAAAACACTGCACTTTTGAGGGATAACTGACACACAATTAACTGTACACATTTAATTGAGAGTGTACAATTTGACCTATGCTCTCTCTCATGAAACCATCACTGCAGTTTATGTCCTGAACATAATCGACCATCCTCAAAACTTTCCCAGAGCCTCCTCTCCTATCACTTAGGTAGTTTCTAGTTGGGCTGTTACAAATTAAGCTGCTATGAATATTTGTGGACATGTCTCTCTCTCTCTCTCACACACACATACACATTTTAACCCTAGACAGAGGACATTCTTTTTCATTGAGTTTATCAAGAGAGGAAGGGAGAGAGAGAGAAACATCACTGGGAGAGAGAATCATTGACTGGACTGGAGATTGAACTCACAACTTTTTGGTCTATGGGATGATGCTATGACAAACTAAGCCACGTTGGCTGGGGTGACGTATGCTTTTCTTTTTTTGGGGGGGGTAAATACCTAGGATTGGAGTATGTTAAACTTTTTAAGGAATTGCCAAAGTGTTCTCCTAAGTGGCAGTAACAATTAACATTCCCACCTGCTGTGCAGAAATCCCAGTTCCTCCACAGTCTTGCCAAAGCTGAGCGTGGTCAGTCTTTTTCAATTTTAGTTATTCTAATAGGTATGTATTGGTATGTCATTGTGATTTGAATTTGCATTTTATTGATGACTAATGACATGAACTATTGTCTCATGGACTTATCTGCCATCTGTATGTCCTCATTGGTGAAATATATATTAAAATGTTTTGCCCTTTTTGGGGCGGGTTATTTGTTTTGTGTTATTGAGTTTTGAGATTTGGGATACAAGTCTTTCATCAGATACATAATTTACAAATATTTCCTCCCTGTCTGTGGCTTGTCTTCTCATTCTCTTAACAGTATCTTTTGAGAAACAGAAGTTCTTCAAATTTTGATGATGTTCAATTTATGAATTCAGCTTTATACAAGGGGGGCATGTGTGAGACACCTGAGACATCATTGCCTAACCCAAGTTCACGGTGGTTTTATCCTAGAAGGCTTAGAGATTTTTTAAATTAATTAATTTATTTTTAGAGAGAGGGGGATGGGAGAGAGAAAGTGGGAGAGAAAACATCAATGTGTGGTTGCCTCCCACATGGCCCCACCGGGGACCTGGCCCGCAAGCCAGGCATGTGCCCTGACTGGGAATCAAACCCGTGACCCCTTGGTTCACAGCCCACGCTCAATCCACTGAGCTACACCAGCCAGGGTGAGACTTTGGTTTTACAGTTAGATATATGACCTAAATGATCACATTGAGGTCCATTATTGAGTTAACTTGTATATAGAATGGAGTATGGAAAGAAGTTTGATTTGTGTTAATGAATACTTAAGAGTTCCAGCACTATTTGTTAAAAAGACTATCCTTCCTCCACTGAGTTCTCTTTACATTTTTTTTTTTTTGGTATAAATTGTGATGTATGTACGGTTGGGTTAGAATTTTTTAATGCTCCATTGTCAGAAAGGCAGGAGCACAGACTTGGGGGCCAGGCACAGTTGACCTAGAAAGTAGACACAATACCATGCACCTCACGGTGTTTTCTACAATTTACAAAGTTCCCTCTGCCTCCTCTGCTCTCCTCTGCTCTCCTCCACGGAAATGTACTAGAATGGGAAAGCTGGTCTTGAATAATGTTTTTCTTTTCTTTTTTTTTTTTCATATTAAAAATATTTTTGGTCCTGACCAGTGTGGCTCAGTTCGTTGAAGTGTCGTCCCATAGACCAAAAGGTTGCAGGTTCTATTCCCAGTCAGGGCGCACACCCAGGCTGCAGGTTCGATCCCTGTTGGGGTGTGTAGGAGGAGGCAACCAATTCATGTTTCTCTCTCTCTCTCTCTCTCAGCAATGGAAAAAACATCCTGGCGTGAGGATTACAAAATATATGCACTCATATTTTCCATGGCCAGTGGCTCATTTGGTTGGAGCATCATCACCATGTACCAAAAGGTTGTGGGTTCCTTTGATTCCTGGTCAGGGCACATGCCTGGGTTGTGGGTTCAGTCCCTGGCTGGGAGGCAAATGGATGTTTCCCCCTCACACTGGAGTTTCTCTCTCTCCTTCTCCCTCCCTCCCTTCTTCTCTCTCTGGATTCAGTGAATCAATGAATATATCCTTAAGTGAGGATTAACACATGTTTTAATTAAACATTTTTGGGAAACATAAACATTTAAACATTTGGGATATTAAACATTTAAAAAAGCATTGATTGACTTTAGAGAGAGAGGAAGGAAGGGAGACCGATTTGTTGTTCCAGTAGTTCTTGCACTCATCGGTTGTTTCCTGCAGGTGCTCTGACTGGGGATCGAACCCTCAACCTTGGTATATGGGGCCAATGCTCCCACCAACGGAGCGACCTGGCCAGAGCAAAATATTTTTTTCAGCTACAGTTTACATGAAATATTACGTTTTATTAGTTTCAGGGGCACAGCATAGTGGTGAGACAATCAGATACTTTACAAAGTGTTTGCCCTGATATTTCTGTATCCAACTGACACACAGTTAGTATGACATTATGGACTGTGTCCCCTAGGCTGTCCTTCACATCTCCCAGGATATGGGACACTTTACAAATTAGTGTGTCATCCACCCTTGTGTAGGGTCCAGGCTAATCTTCTCTGTATCATCCCAATTTTAGTACATGTGCTGGCCAAATGAGCCCTCGAGGAATGTTTTGCAAACCATTAGAACCTCAGGGTTCTAAGAGGGAGGGAAGGAAGGTGTAATGGGCCACGGTCTCCGTGAGCTATTGTCAGGCAGCTGAACATCTAACGCAAATCCGACATGTGCTCCTGGCGGCGCTCGGGCGAGTTCTGATTTCAGGCTTCCTGTGGGGGCAGCAACTCCACTTGTTGTCTGTGTCTGCTGAGACACGGGTAAGTTTCAACAGCAGTGCAGTTCGTTACTACTTGACCAATGAAATTTTCTGATAGGCAAGATTTTTCAAAACATTGGCCTTGTGGAGAAAGAATAAAGGAGATCTCAGGTGGTGAACAGAGTGGAAATCACTCAGAGAAACAAAGCAACACGGACCCCGAGCTGTGTTTTCTGAGATTTCCACAGCAAGAGCCGCCCGGGCTGATGAAGAAAAAAATGGGCTTCGCCCCTGAGAGGGCACCAGTGAACGCAAAAGGAGATGAAAATGTCTCAAACATAGGTGTTCAAAGCAGGGAAGTGTCAGCAAGATCCAGGACAAGCTGGGAATCCAGGAAGGTGTCAATCTGAGGGTTTGCTTCCAGTTGATTAGCTTGCTGGTCCTAAGTTTCAGCACAGGGCATCTCGGTTTATTAGGAATAGACATGTAATGAATCAGCCCTTTAGCTAAGTCAAGTCACATGCATGATCGATCAGGGTGAGTTGTAGTTAACCCTTCACCCTGGTCGCTACTGGAAAAATTTCTGGCTGCATCAAATCTCGAAACGGCGGATGATCTAGAACTATCCCTTTTTCAGCTTGTAGAGGTATCCTGGGGTGACTCATGTATTACAAAAATATAATAGACAATCTAGAAATCTTGGGAAACATAGCAGAGTCAAGAGAGCGAGAAATAGGGAATGGGAGAGAGAGAGGAACAGAGAGAAATGCATCTATGTTCTCAAACACTTTTTCCCAGGTTTTTATTATTTCAGTTAATTTTTATGAACTATCTATACTTAACAAAGATAACATGTGAAGTTTCAAGAATAAAACAACAAATGCTTGTGCATCCACCACTCCATCAAGAACTAGAACATCCGTTTCCAGCATCTTCGAAGTGCCCTGTGAGACCCTCTACAACCATCCTTGCCATACTTCCCAGAATTAACCCCATTTGGAATTTTATTCATCATTCTCTTTCTTTTCTTTAAATTTTGACCCCTTCTGGATGCATCCCTAAACAACATATTGTTTAGTTTTGCATGTTTTGAACTTAAATAAAGGGAACCATAACATGTATGTTCAGTCTGGCTTTTTGCTGGTTTGTGTCTATCAGTACTGTGGACTTCCCCCAGGATGGTACAGGTTGCTGAAGTTCACTCATTGTCACGGCTCACTGGTATTCCATCGCAAAGCTATGAATGGCTCTCCTTACCCATTCTCCCGTGAAATGGACATGCGTGGTTTCTAGGTTTTGTTATTATAAACAGTTCTGCTGTGAATACTCTTGTACACCCCTCTGAGTGTTCATGCACAAGAGTTTCTGTAAGGCAATTTCTAATCTTTTAGACACATATCTATCTTTTTTAAAAGATGGTTCCAATCATATGAACTATATGTGCTCAAATACCCAGTGTGTGATGCATACTTTTTGTAAACTTCCCTCCGTGTTTTTAAAGCCGTTTTCAAAAACGAATTTTATGGTTACATATTTTACCAGATGCCTATGTTAAAAGTTACTGGAATATTCACCTGTTTTTAAGCATTTATGGTTTTTTTTTTCTCCTTGAGAGTGATAATGAACGTGTTTGTGTATTATCTCTTTTGAAGTTTTGAAAGTTTTTTTTTTACCTTTTTAAATCATGGTAAAATATACATGACAAAAAAATTCCAATTTTAACAGATTTTCAGTGTAAAATTCAATGATGGTAAGTACATTTCCTCTGTTGTGAAACCATCACATTATCCATCTCAAAAACTTTCTCATCTTGCCCAGTTGAAACTCTGTACCCATTAAACACTAATTCTCCACCCCTCTCCTCCTAGCAGTCCCTGGTAACTTCTCTTCTACTTTCTGCCCTTATGAATTTCACTACTCTATGTATCTCATATAAGCGCAATTATATTATATTTGTCCTTTTGCGTCTGGCTTATTTTACTTAGCATAATGTTTTCAAGATTCACCTATGTTGTAACAAGTCTCAGAATCTCATTCCTTTTTAAGGCTGAATAAAATGACTTATATACTAGATTTTTGGTAGGAGCGTTACTCAAAAGTGCAATTTCTAAGTCAAATAGTAAGAACGTAAAAAGATTTTTGTTGCCTGAAAATTATCCTCCCACACAGCCATATGGAATATTTTATTTCACTATATTCTTGCTAGTAAGGAGTATTACACATTAACCATTAAAACACCCCACTCTACTTCTTGGCCAGGGGGCTCAGTTGATTAAAGTGTCATCTCATACACCAAAAAAGGTTGCAGGTTCGATTCCCAGTCAGAGCACATACCTAGACTGTGGTTTCCTTTCCTAGTCAGGGTACATATGGGAGGCAACCGGTCTATGTTTCTCTCACATCAATATTTTTTTCTGTCTCCTTTTCTCTCTCTCTAAAATTAGTAAACATATTCTTGGGTGAGGATGAAGAAAACCCCTACTTTGCTGTTTTTATGACCTGCTTCATTTTTGTTTTAACTTAGCTTGCTATAAAACTTGCTCTACCTTCTTCTTGAGTGCTCATAGTTGTATCGAAACCTAGAATAGTCAGCGAACATCTGCTAGGGTGGCTGGCTTTCCCAGACATCCCATGGAAGGCTGTCTTGGGAGGGCACTTGTTTTGGATAACATACCAAATAACAAATCTTCACATGGTTAATGGGGTGCTAGCTACAATCCCACACACACACACACACACAAAAAGACCTGAATAGCGTTCCTGGCAGAAGGTGCGTGTGGGCTGTGCCTTGAGTTCATCCCCCTGGCTGCTTGGTCGAGGGAGGGCAGGACAGCAAAGGGCTGTGCCCACGGGCTCCGGCGGTTGCCATTGGCTGCCTGAGACCCTAAGTTGAGAAGAACGCCAAGGCTATAGGACCAGACAGAAGGGAAAGAATGCTCCTCAGTGGAGACTGGACACAGCACCGTTGTGGGTGCCACACTAGGAAATGACAAGCCCAGAGAGAACCCTTGGTTAGTAAAAATATATATATATAAATATATAGTTAACATATATTAGTTTGGGTTGTACAACATAATTATTCCACACCTACATACCCAATGAAGCGATCGTGGTAAGTCTAGTAACCAGTTGTTCACTGTACAAAGTTATCACCATGTTATTGACTATGCCGTACATTACATCCTTGTGGCTGATTGTACAACTGGAAATTTGTGCCTCTTATTCTCCTTCACCTTCTTTGCTCTCCCACTCACCTCCTCCCTGGCAGCCATCAGTTTGTCCTCCGTATCTGGGAGTCTGTTTCGTTTTGTTTTTTAGATTCTACGTGTGCATGCGGTCATCCAGTATTAGTCCTTCCCTGACTCATTTCACTCATATTACCCCCCTTAGGTCCCCTCGTGTTGTTGTAAATGGCAAGATTTCTTTCTTTTCCATTGCTAGTAATATTCCATCTTGTATATGTAGCACATCTTCCTTATCCACTTTATCTATTGATGGGCACTTAGGTTACTTTAATGTTTAGGCTACTGTAATAATGCTGCGATGAACGTAAAGCTGCACCCTCCCTTTCAAATTAGTGTTTTTGTTTTCCTCAGATGGATGACCACACGTGGAATTACTGGGTAGTTCTAGCTTTAATTTTTTGAGGGAACTTTGTACTGCTCTACACCAACTCACAAACCCACAATTGGGGCACAGGGGTCCCCTTTTCTTCACATCCTCGCCAGAGGATGCTACAAATAGTTTGTTGCTATTTTGATGCAGACTAATCAACCTTTTGAATGACTGAATATACCTGTATTTCATTGGATGATTGTGGAGTATATTTACAAAAAAGGAAAAAGGAAGGAAGGAAAGAAAAAAAAACACGTAACAGGCTAAACACAATGTTTTATCTTATCGCAATGACACTGTCTACTCAGCTAGCACCAAAAGATACTTATTTAATATATGTTTTAGACACCTGTCAGCATTGTGTTGGACTCCCCGAGTAATTTATAGTTTCTGCCCTCAAGAATTTGATACATAAAGTGCTAATAACAAGGCTAGTTATAAGCAACATATGATGCAGAAAAAGAATACAAACCAGTAAGAGTGTCCAGCAAGTGTGCAGACAACACAAACAGAGAGGACAGGGTGGGGGAGCCCTGCCTCACCCCGGGGTTCCCACTTTGGTGGACAAAATGTTTCAAGCATATCTGACACCTTCTACACCCCACAAATACACTGGAATGATAACAAGTAGTGAGGGTGGGAGAAGCAGAAGGAAAAGGGAAGGAGTGAAATAAAAAGACAGAAAATTTGGAGAGATATACTGATTAAAGAGAGGGAAGAAATGGATTGAGGGGCAGAGGAGCCCAAGAACACTAAAACGGGGAAGAGAAGTGACAAGGAAAAAAGAAAAATTGAAAAGAGGGTAAAGGTAAAGGGGGGGAGGAAAGGAATTGACAGTGTCGGGAGTAGGAAGAAAAATGGAGGAACAAAAGGAGGGGGGAGGGAGAGAGAGGGGAGGGGTGGGGGGAGGGGCAGGGAGGAAGAGGAAGATAGGGAAAGAGATCCTGAACCTTATTTCAAAGCAGTTTAGAAATAACTCTAATATTTGTTTCCTACACTTTATAAACACATTTAAAAATGGGAACTTTAAAAACGTACTCACTAATTTATTACATGACCGTTGACCAAATACTTTCAGGTTTTATTTCATCGTGGAGGTTGTGTTCATAATAATCCTTAAAAAATTTGAGGGTGTTTAGGAAAGAGGTGGGCGGACCAAAACTCTTTCTAAATTATCAACCCATGAAAATCAGAAATCACATGTAGAATTGTATCTCAGTTTAGTCAAATAA